AATGTAAAGATTGTTGGCCGCGTGTTAAAAGCCCGTCAAGGTGTTTTCGTGACCAAGAAATTTTAAACTCATTGCTTAGTACTGGTTGGTTCCGGAAACGAATACGAGAGCGTTTCAATAAGCTTACTGCTGCAAACACAGTCGAACTAAAATAAATAAGTACAATATATAAACTAAAATAAGGATATATTATGCGAATTTATACCAAAACGCAATTGATAATAGATAATGAAAATTGACAATACTGTTTTTTTTTATTTTAGTGTATTTTTCGGTTCGAATAATTTGTTGCGTTTTGAATTATCTTCATTTGTTTATGTACTGGATATTCCAGCGTTTTCTTTATTCAATTCATTGTATTTCACACTTACAGGTTTAATGGCGGTGATTGGTTTGATTTACTATCAGCACGTGGAAGTGATTGGTATTTAAAGGCCACAGTTGACCTGACAACACGACAGGATACAGGAGGAATAAACTCATCACCTACAGTTAACATGCCGTCTGTACTATACTGGCAAACAGAATGTTCTTATACATATACTTTACCAGGTCTATATCTTGTCGAACAAATGATTTTTTTATACACAAGTACTTCCTAAAATGTTAACTTTATTTAGATATTTGTTATTCTTGTGGGTTGTATCGCTCGATTTGATTGCGTAAAGTTTAATAACAACAATAACAATAATACATTTTATTGATTTGACCAGTTACAGATCATCTTCATACAAATTCCATTGACATACATGTATACGTAAAAGTAGAAGTGAAGTGTAAAATAAAAAAAAATATATAAAAAGAAAAAGAAATATTGATTATTATCGCTCCACGAATGTTAAATGGAGGTTGAACATTGTATATATAAATTCCTGCCATCATACAGTACATACAGAATTGCAATAATATCATATATTTAATTAAGTTTGCTTTTTAGTTAAGTTGTATAGTTAAAGAGTTTACAAAAGATTGTTATAATTCTGCAAGAATATATTGAAATACAAAAACGAAAATATATTTAACAAAAACTTAGTAAAATAAACTGCATTGTATCACCAATTAACTAGAGTCTTGCGCAATGCAAAAGCTTCATATATAAATTTACCAAGATTTAGCAGTGTATGCCTATTAGAAGATTGCATCAATTTAACAAACTTATGAACACTTGGTCTATTATAAAAATATGGTTTAATGAAACGTTTTCTAAAGTGGTAAATAAATCGGACATATTAACACAAAATGGTATTCGTCCCTCTACATCATTTTTATCACATAAATAGACATAAACGCTGGTTTCTATCCACACGATTTCTGCCATGCCGACCAACTTCAATATTCAGCTGATGAGACGAAAAGGCGTAATCGAGATAGAACAGTTCTAAATTTACTAGGAAGAATATCCAAAATACATTTCAAAATCGACTGATCTTTTTAAACTCTTTATATAAAAACAAAGAGCCGCTCAATGCAATTTGGTTTACACCAAGATTGTTTTAAAAATATCAACATCCTTTCTTTAAACAACAGATGAAATGTTTTAAAATTTACACAATCTGGATTGTGAAACACATGTTGAAAACCCATGACTGTCTAGTAACTTTTTAAACATTTACAAGCCAATTAGTTTTACCTTTATTTAGTTGATTCACCATGTCTGCATAAATGTAATTTGAAATAATGTTTTTACTTTGCACAAGATTGCACCAAAACTTAATAATACAACAATACCGATTGACAAAAAGTGGATAGCGTCCTAGTTCGCTATAAATAGCTAGTTTACTAGTGGATGTCTTCACATTTAAGACACGCCTACAAAAATTTAGATGGACTTTCTCAATATTATAAAAAGTACCATAGCCCCAAACTTCGCAAGCATAGTTAAGGATCGATCCTACAAAAGCGTCAAACAGTTGACATTGAATTGAAGGCGCGATAGTAAAATTCTTTAAATTAATCAGCAGTACATTTAAAGCCTTTAAGCCTTTACCTATTAGTGTATCTTGGTTTACTTTAAAAGAGCCAGTGTAAGAAAACACAGTGCCAAGGTAATTAAAATTATCGACAACTTCAAGAGAGGAGTTCGCGTAATGCCAGTGCTCGTCAGGTCTTATATTACCTCGCTTACGGAAAACCACAACCTTAGTTTTTTCAGTATTGACAATAAGAACCCCAGCGATCACAATATAATTTTAACACGTCAAGCTTGCATTGAAGATCAACGGGAGTATTACCAAAAAACATCATGCCATCGGCAAACAATATGATGACTAGCAGGATTTCATCAATTTTTAAACCACACGACGGGTCGTCATTCAAAAATAGTCCAAGATCTTCTGAAAATAAAGAAAATAAAACAGGGGAGAGAATCTCACCTTGCTTTTAACCGACCACGCATTCAAAATAATCAGAGAAAGAGTTACATCTCTTGATACATGTTTTTAACAGAAATATATATGTATATTTTTGATTATCCTTAGTAATTTGCCATTGATTTTCAGCTTATACAGTTTATACCATAAATTACAATGACAAACACTGTCAAAAGCCGTCTTTAAGTCGATAAAACCGCAATATAATCTACCTTTTATCATTCAAAACTTTATTTAAAACAGCATTCGATAAAAACATTGCGTCGACAGTTGATCTTTCAGACATAAAACCGAACTGCGCATCACTGACTATGTTATTATCATTTATCCATACGCTTAAACGCTTGTTAACTACGCTCGTAAAATTTTTAGAAAAACAGCTTACTAGAGTGATTCCTCTGTAATTGTTTACGTCAGAAGGATCATTTTTCTTAAATAACGGTACTAAGAGTTTAATGATACTGAGTTTACCCGTCCAATGTTTGTAAAATTGTACAAAACCGGTTTGCGCGATACATCACAACGAAATATCAATATTTCTCTAAAAAGATGAATTCTGTTAAAAGTCTTATAGAATCAGAAAAAAACAACATTGGAAGTATTTTTCCCTAAAAACATGCATATGAAAACATTCCTGACGTCACGACACGATCAATGCAAGATGTTCGATGCACGAACTTGTTTTATTATTTATCTAGGCATTTATATGTTAATGATGAAATTCTACTGCCTATCAAAATTCCATGGTAATCATAAATGTTTTAATCTTTATTATTTTATTGTTTTCGATAATGTTAAATCTAGTACATATACAGTACTGTATACGGTTACAAATGATCATAGATCTAAATGAAATAAATTTAGTAAATACAATACGTAATTGTTTTTACTGACGATCATAATTTACATCGTTTTTCATCGTTGCGCTGAATTTTTTAACCTTAGCTTTGGATTCAAATACGAATCATAATCGTTATCCTGATTGAAACTGCTACTTTTATAGTTCATGACGTAGATGGTGACGTCATACGATGCAGATGGGCAAGCGGACCCACTGAATGTGCAGGTGTTTGTCAGGCTGTGGCTATTCCTCGAGCTTCATTAAATGAGGTAAATGTGTTATAACGTAAATTATATATAATTTGAAAGATGGTGTTAACAGTAGGTGCCAAACCTTTTGTTGCGTGCAAAACTCAATTTCTTACTGTTATCATAGTTGATCGTAGTAAGAGTTAACTCGCATATGACGATATATTAATCAGATCAGATAACAAATTTAGTGTCCAACTTTATTTGTCATCCAATGAAAACGCTGTATTTCTTAAAAATTCTGTGCGTTAATTTTCATAGAAGAAAAAAAAGTCGATACTATCATATATATATATATAATATATATATATATATATATATATATATATATATATATATTATATATATATATATATATATATATATATATATATATATATATATATATATATATTATATATATATATATATATATATATATATATATATAAAATTTATTTCGTTATAAGCGAAGTTTCAAACATATATAATTGATCGTTTAGAAACGGACCATATTTAAGATTTATTTATATATTTGATATTTTCAGTCGTTGAGTTTTGTATAATTATTCAATAGTACCTTGGCATCCTAAAGTCCGGTACATTCAGCGTTGTACATTGTACACTCAGATGCTAAAGCACGAGCCAAGAAGATGTCAAATGATTTGCTATAAAACATCATTTATGAACTGAATCAACAAATAATTATGAATTACGCTGTTGTCACTTTGTTTACATAACACTCGAAGAATCTCCTTTTCTAGCCAAATAAATGAAATAAACAAGTTATGTAAAAAGGAAACAACAGAAGACAAGTGATAAGAAAATAACACAAAATAATTTTTTTTTTCTAACAATGATTTGATATTAAAAAAATGATGACAAAACTAATGTATTTAAATGTTTATTTTAAATCCTTTGTGGAATTTATTGAAGAGTAGCGCAAAGTATATATACATGTCGTATTAAAGTAATGTATTCATACTATGATTTGTTTCTTTAGGTATGATTTGGCCTCTTGCGTATTGCGCATGCCTGATAGATAAGATAAGTTTAACAAGACGGTTAATAACGATATCTACTCAATTGGCAAAAGCAATCCTTGAAGCCCGCGAATGTGTTTGGACATTGTAATAACTTAAATTTTCTTTTTATTTATTTCTGATCTTTTTAGGTTTGATACAAAACAAAATGTTGCCTTCTTTAGAATTCACATTAGTATACTCATTTGTAGATTTCCCAACACTCGCATATGGAATAATTTATGAAAATATTTTTTGTTAAGTATTTTCGTAAAGTTTTTGAGTTTCAATTAACTGCTTTTGAAACAATTCGTTAGAAATAAACTATGTAAGTTATGATTGTACCGAACACCTGAAGCACATTCTAATAGGAAATTTAAAACGCAATTGTTTTCGTTCTCTCAAAGTTTCTGTTTCATTAGCAATTATCATGTCCGTGTGAAATAAAATCACAAAAATAGTTTACTTGTGTGTTTGACTAATGTAATGTCGGTCAAATTCTTCATGTATTATTAATTTGTAACAAATACTTTCGAATGACATGGAAGAAGGCATTATTGTAAAACGGAAATATTTTATGTTTTGAGGCCACATGAAATTTATTAGCTGTGATACACGCTTCGATTGACTATCAATCTCCCCCACATATTTTAAAAGCTCCTTGTCGCTGACTCGTATTAGCCGCGTCATGACAAAACCAACATAGTGTGTTTGCAATCAGCATGGATCCAGACCAGCCCGCGCGTCCGCGCAGTCTGATATCAGTATCCATGCTGTTAGCTATAAGTTTCTCAACTTATAATAGAGTTTGTAAGCGTACAGCATAGATCCTGATCTGACAGCGCTGATGCACAGGCTGGTCTGGATCTATGCTAGTCGCCATTATGTTGATTTTTGTCGTGACGCGGCTCATATCTCAATTGACTCCTGATAGAAATGTTGATATGTTGATGTTTCATTGTTGTTTCTTTAGACAGAAAAGAAAGTTTTCTAAAGTTGTCAAGATATGTTATATTTTCAGGCGACATGCACTATATCATACACAGCAGGTACCACCACAGGGTTTTACGCAGTAGCCATACAAGTTGAAGATTTTATCGCCATAACGTCAACAACACCTCTAAGTAGCATACCTGTTCAATTCATGGTAAACATATCTTCAGGGAGTGGTTGTTCAGATACACCGCAATTTATAGACCCAACACCAACTGCCAACACAAAGTTCGTTACTGACATCGGCAGTCAGTACAGCTTTACAATCAAAGTACAGGGACCTCACTTGTAAGTATTGTTCTTGTATAGTCTGATATTATATCAATATAAAATGTCAAAGTGGTGTTAATATTACTTTCACTAATATTTTCTTTTCTTAACTGTAGTTTAAAATTGTCCAATATCCCGATCTAACAAAATCATTTGAGTCGAGGATGGTTTATCTGAATAATCAATTCAAATAACAATTACACCCGAGATTATATATGATTGTCATAAATTATATGTTTTAATGTGAAAAAATGATCGTCGGATAAAAAAATTTCATTTTACAAAATAATGGTTTTAGTTACTTATAGTAGTATATCTATATAAGGCATCATATAATAAATATATGAAACCTAAACAAATATATATAAATTGATATTTTTCACACGTAGATTTCTAAGAATAATAATACTATCAGAGATAAGAATAGTGCAATCAACAATGAACACTTTTGCATCACCCTTGCACTTTCTAACTGCTGCTGCAACATGGACGTCTTCCACTTCTGACGCTAATTCTGACCACAGAGTTTGTTTCTTCGCCAGAGATGAAATAGGGTATACTGCTCCTAATTTCATTTAACTTCATTTGAGATAAAAAAAACAACAAAAAACAAAACAACAAACAAACAAACCTAAAATTGCAGGGTCACTTAGTATTATCTCTTCTTGTCTCTCGGTTATGAAATGAGTAATAATTGTTATATCTTAACAATTCATGTTTTTTTAACAAACTCAAATGCCAAATAATAACAGCTGTTATGTATAAACTTAAAAAAATAAGAAAATGTTATCATACGACATTCCTGAATATTATTACATAAATGGTCACCTGATTGGAAAATGGACTGTGAATCAGGCGACCTGGGTTCGATTTCCCGACGATGAAGGTCACGTAAGTTGTGATTTGTCATGAAATCCTTTCTAAGATCATTCGCATTGTACCTCTGCTTTGGCATGTACAGAAGTACTCAGTTCTTTGCGAAAGTGAAGGCAACTTGTTCTGGTAAACTGTTTGACAGCAAGCCCAGAAACGGTGCACTTGCTGAACTGAGCACGACTATTCCATTTATTTTACTTATGCTATCGCCGTTGTAAGCTTGCACAAAGGCAATGTAGTCACACACTTAGGAAATAAGAATTTATATATTTTACATATAAATGGCTTTATATACATGTATGTTGCCGACGGGATATAGGTGAAAATACATCTTGAATTAATCAAATATGACAAAAATGCTTGTCGAAGCATACACTATATTCTCTTGCATATACCATAAAAACAGTATTACAAATTACCAACTGGGAGTGGGGTTGGTTGGGCTGCAGTTGGCGGTGCCGCGTACTGTATTGTTGTTAGTTTATGAATGTTAAAAAAAATAATGCAGTTATTGATTGCTGAAAAGGTATCAATTTATTGAAAAAAATTGTTGTTTAAACCCAGATATAAGACTTTTTTCTGAAAACAAATCTATCGGTTCGTTAAACTTTCTTTTTTGTTTGTTTTCTCTTCTATGCAACTGGTGACAAATTATGCCATGAGTTTTTTCTGTCGGTAGTTTCGAACGATTTATTTTGAGAAAATGTGGTGGTTAATATAGATAATAATATGGTATTTCACTAATTACACAAAAAACGAACAACAATGATATCATAGAATTAAAAGCATTTTTATTGTAATTATTGTCAAACGAATGACGCAAGACCCGAAAAAAAGATTGCTTGATATATGCAAACATGCCATTTTGATTATAAAAAAGACTACTCTTATGTCTATGCAGGAAATAATGGCACTTGAGAATATATTGAAGACATACAAACCTTACAATTTGAAAAAAAATGTGTCTACATGGTAAAAATTGGATATATACACATATATTAAGATAGTTTAACCAGTGAAACCTATATATAAAAATCAATATGAAGAGTTTCATTTTATTATATGTTAAACTGTTTGCAGAGTCACAAGTGAAACAAGATGCATTGTGTTACATGCTACAGGTAATATACATTCTTTTGTCTTCCTCCGCCAGTAAAGATGGAAAGTCGCCATATGAACACTACTGTGTTGATGTGACGTAATCCACCCCCCCCCCCCCAAAAATAAATAAAAATAAAAAAATAAAATTAAATAAAATTAATTTAGATAATAATTTACGAAAACTATCGATGAATATAAAAGGTAGCAACTGTAACAACCAAGTTCATTTATAAACCTTTCTACTTTAACTGTTTTATTATTTTTTAATTAAATGTAAAGTAAACACGTATTAGTTCAATCATATGTTTTCATCTTTATAGATATAAATGAATGTGACAGCAATCCATGTGAAAATGGTGGAACATGTAACAATCATGTTAACTTTTATAACTGTTCGTGCCAACTGGGATATGTAGGCATTAATTGTGAAACAGGTAAAACTCAATGTTCAAAAGAAAGGATAAGATAATAAATGACAAAGGGCAATTTAATCTTATAATTATTTTTACTACTGTAACTGCTCTTGTCAACAATGTTATGATAATATTAGTAAATACTGTAATAAAACTTAACGGAAATGTTTAGAAACCATTTTCTTGTTAGTATGAATTTGCGAAAAGTTTTTTCCGGATATATCGTTCATTTCTTTATCATTTAGCGATATGTACATGCTAGCACATATTTTCAAAAGGCACTGACTTAGCCATGGAAGCGTTATGTTTTTGTGATACATCTAGTCAAACATAATTAATATTCAATAAAGATATTCACTAACAAGAAGGATATTAATAAAAAAAGATTATGTATAACATAAATGCATCGTGTTTCGTTTAAACAAAACAATAATTTAATGTCCATGTCATCGGTGATATAAAAACTATTATTGTGAAAAATATGTGCAATGAAAATATGTGCAGTGAAAATAAATATAGTAGTAAATGCCAAAATGTTTTCATTATAGCAAAGATTTTGTATATCGAAATTACTCTTATCTTTTTGTTCTTTCACATCTATTTGTAGACATAAACGAATGTGAAAGTAATCCATGTAACAACAATGGAACTTGTAATGATTATGTCAACTTTTATAACTGTACTTGTCAACCTGGCTTCAAAGGAAGTTATTGTGAAATTGGTAAGAAAAAAACCCAACAATAATTGAATAGCAAACGTTTATAGAACAAAGGAACGTGTAAAAATTATTAAGTTTTTACCGAAATATCTAATTAACTGAGGATGGCCTTAGTATCAAGCATCTTAAGATTGTTTTCTTTTTTTAATTGTCAGATATTATACTGTCGCAGAGCTACAAAACCTGCTTCAGTCTCGGCCAGCACCTCGTCAAGTTACGTTTGACAAATGTGTAATCGTCCAAGAATTCATTGTTTGATTCACCCTTAATAATAATTTTAGCCTCCTATACAATTCCAGAGTCAAACAGTCCATTTAAACCAATATCACATCCCATATAGCCTCGTTTTCATCTCCAGAGGCCAAAAGGTTAATGTCAAACCCATATTACCCCCATATAGTGATAAAATTATGTTTATCTTTTCATTCTATCTTTTACTTTACATTAAAGAATAATATTATAAATGGCAAAGGGCAAAAGAATCCTTTAAAATTAGTTTTACTACCGTAACTGCTCTTGTCAACAATGCTATGATAATATAAGTATATATTGCAAAAAAAAATGAACGGAAATGTTTAGATAACATATTCTAGTTAGTATGAACACAATATGTGAAAAGTTTTTTCCGGATATTACTATCAATTCTTTATCATTTAGCGATATTTACAATCTAGCACATATTTTCAAAAGGTACTGACTTAGCCACGGGAGCGTAAGGTTTTTGTGATACTTCATTTTTCTTAAGTCATTAATTAATATTTCATTAAGATATTGACTAACAAGAACGGTATTAATCAGAAAAAAAGTAAAACATAAATGAGTCGTTTTTCGATTAAACAAAAAATATTGTTCATGGCATCCGTGATATAAAAAACAATAGTTTTGAAAATATGTGCAATAAAAATATGTGCAATTAAAATAAATAAAGCAGTAAATGCCAAAAAGTTTTTCATCAAAGCAGAGATTTTACATATTAAAGTTACTCATATAACTTTGTGATAAGAAGACTACTAACTGTGAAAAAATATGTGAAATAAAAATAAATATATGGCAAACACTTTTGATGTAAGCAGGAATGTTTCAGATCGACATTACTTATTTAATTTATGTTCGTTCTTTCACGTCTGTTTGTAGAAATAAACGAATGTGATAGTAATCCATGTAAGAACAATGGAACCTGTAATAATTATGTCAACTTTTATAACTGTACTTGTCAACCTGGCTTCGAAGGAACTAATTGTGAAATTGGTAAGAAGAATTTAAAAAAATGTTTGAAAAACATAAGTTTAAAGAACTAACGAATGTGTTGTATATTGTAGTTTTTGCTTAAAGTTCTTGAATTTCAAACGGTAATTTTTAGTATATAACCCATAAAAAACTCCTTTTAATTCAATTTGTTACAAATATACACGTAAACAGCTGAAAAACGTTAATCAGACCGACGTTCAAAATAGGTTTGACAGCTGTATACTTGTCCAATAAAATTCAGTGATAAAATTATAATTATCATTTTTACTTTACATCTTTATAGAAATAAACGAATGTGACAGCAACCCATGTGAAAATGGTGGAACATGTAACAATCATGTGGACTTCTATAACTGTTCATGTCAACTGGGATATGTAGGCATTAACTGCGAAATAGGTAAAAATCAATTTGCAAAAGAAATAATAAATTCTTAAATTTTTAATTTTTAAAAGTATTTAAACAGAGTGCACGTAGAGATCAATCCAAATTACTTGTACACTATTGAATCTTGTAACGGTTATCTTAACTTCTTTTACTGTTCATGTCAACCAAGATTGAAGGTAAAAGTTGCGAAGCAGGTAAATATTGGTATCAAAAAATAAATATAGCAGTGAATATTAAACTTTTTCATCTTTATTGTTTTTACATTGAAAAATATTCTTCGGACCACAATGAATTATTTATTTGAATAAATGAAATTATCATAAAGGGAAATTTGGAAATAATAAACATATCATTCAGCGATATGTAAATAATGCAAAATTATGACTATCTTTTATATATTCATTTTTTCTTTACATCTTAATAGAAATAAACGAATGTGACAGCAACCCATGTGAAAATGATGGAACATGTAACAATCATGTGAACTTCTATAACTGTACATGTCAACTGGGATATGTAGGCATTAATTGCGAAATAGGTAAAACTTAATGTGGAAAAGAAATAATAAAGTAATAAATGACGAAATGTCGTTTCAGCTTCGTAAGTAATGTATAAAATCTGAGTGGTGATCAATTATCTTGCAAGTATTGCGTAAAATATAGTTTAGTTGAAAATAACTTAACATTTATGTATCAATATGGTCAACCTATGGTTACCTATATTGTATTTGGCACCTGAAAAAGTAGAGATGAATGTGAAATAAGTTATCATAAAAGTTATAAAATGTAAGAGAAGTCTTCTAACTTCAGTATTCAAGTATTTCACTGTACATACTGCCAAAAAGCAACAGAATCAAAAGGTTATTTTGCCAATGTGTAACGTTTTGAAAATTCTAACAGAACACGTAAAAAATGTTTTTTTTTTAAATTAAATTGACAGAACTTCTAAAGCATAATGAACATTTTAGCAAATTCCAATCTTCAATATCATTTAACGACATGCAAATCATTCCCGCCAATATACAATATACACTCATCTATGCAGTCAGATTCTAAAAGTGTGTGTGACGAACTGGTGTTTGCACACGTAATTTCCATAGTTCGCTTTGTTACCATTAACATTTTCAGCGGTTTAATACTATTCAGTTTGGTGAGGAATAGAAATAAATAAAGCAGTGGACAATAAACACCTATTCATCTTCCATTTTGATGCACGAGTTGTAATCAATGCAAATTAATACCATCCTTACTTTCGTTTGATACTTTTCGTTTCTTTTTATAGATATTAACGAATGACAAAGTAGTCCATTAACGAGCGATGAAACTTGCTATGATTATGTCAACTTCCATAACTGTTCTTGTCAACCGGACTATGAAGGAATACAATGTTAAATTATAAATAAGTAATATAAAAGTTAAAGATATTCTTTTCTGTACTGGACGGAAAAGTTGGGACAAAGTTTCAGTTATTTGGAAATAATAAACATATATCATTCAGCGATATGTAAATAATGCAAAATTATGACTATCTTTTATATATTCATTTTTTCTTTACATCTTTATAGAAATAAACGAATGTGACAGCAACCCATGTGAAAATGGTGGAACATGTAACAATCATGTGAACTTCTATAACTGTTCATGTAAACTTGGATATGTAGGCATTAATTGCGAAACAGGTAAAACTTAATGTGGAAAAGAAATAATAAAGTAGTAAATGACGAAAAATCGGTTCAGCTTTGTAAGTAATGTATAAAATCAGAGTGGTGATCAATTCAAACTATTTGATACTTGTTTTTTGTTAAAGAGACATTTCACTCAATGTTTCGCTGTTGAGTCGATCTTAATTAGTTATATATTTAAAATAATTGACTTTTATAATTTTGAGAGACCAATTATTGATAATGAAAACTGTTAATAAAATATCAAAAATGCCTGAAATATAAAAAAAAAAATATATGAGAAAACACATCAAAAACGACAGAACGCAGCCCCCGACACAACTCTGTCACACCAGCCAATAACGGGAGAGCACAAAGGGGCGGTGAATAGAATGGGAGGGACATGTAATAAATGAAATGAAATGAAAGAACTAAAATGGCAGATACGGGCTTAAAGACTACCCATTTTATAAGTCAAAGGATATTCAAAAAAATATTTCGTGAGTCATATGGGTGATTGATTATACACATGGAGTAGACACAATTATAATATTATGACACAAACTAAAACTACTTTGACCTGTACCTTATCAACTAAAATTTGAATGAGCATTATGCCACTCTAACTGTATCACTCCTGTTTTCAGAAATTGACGAATGCCAAAGTAATCCATGTAAGAACGATGGAACTTGTTATGATTATGTTAACTCATATATGTGTATTTGCCAACCGGGCTATGAAGGACTTTATTGCGAAAATGGTAAGAAAAGTTCAAGTAATTGTTAAAAGATGATAGCAGCATGTCTTTAATAAACTAAAAAATGTTTCTAAACTTATCATAAAAAGCGATGGTTCATGATACTTCTATAAGAAACATGTCACCTGTTAGACTAAGTAAACAAAAAAAAAATATTATTGTGAAAACTATGTGCAATAAAATATGTGCAGTGAAAATAAATATAGTAGTAAATGCCAAAATGCTTTTCAGTATAGCTAAGATTTTGCATATCGGAATTACTCTTATCTGATTGTTCTTTCACGTCTGTTTGTAGACATAAACGAATGTGAAAGTAAGCCATGCAACAACAATGGAACCTGTAATGATTATGTCAACTTTTATAACTGTACTTGTCAACCTGGCTTCAAAGGAACTTATTGTGAAATTGGTAAGAAAAAAAACCCAACAATATTAGAATAGCATACGTTTATAGAACTAAAGAATGTGTAAAATTATTAAGTTTTTACCGAAATATCTAATTAACTGAGGATGGTCTTAGTATCAAGCATCTTAATATTGTTTTCTTTTTTTTAATTGTCAGCTATGATACTCTCGCAGAACTACAAAACCTGCTTCAGACTCGGCCAGCGCTTCGTCAAGTATACGTTTGACAGATGTGTAATCGTCCAAGAATTCAGTGTTAGATCCATTCTTAAAACTTAAGCCTCCTTTCCATTTCCAGAGTCAAACAGACCATTTAAACCAATATCACATCCCATATAGCCTCGTTTTCATTTCCTGAGTTCAAAGGTTCATATCAAACCCACATTACCCCCATATAGTGATAAAATTATGATTATCTTTTCATTTCGTTTTTTACTTTACAATAAAGAATAATGTGGCGAAGTGCAAAAGAATCCTTGACAATTAGTTTTACTATCGTAACTGTTCTTGTCAACAATGCTATGATAATATAAGTATATATTGCCAAAAAAACAAAAGAAAAAAAAAGAAAAAAAACACACACACACACACAAAATGAACGGAAATGTTAAGATAACATATTCTAGTTAGTATGAACACAATATGTGAAAAGTTTTTCCCGGATATTACTATCAATTCTTTATCATTTAGCGATATTTACAATGTAGCACATATTTTCAAAAAGTACTGACTTAGCAACGGAAGCGTAAGGTTTTTGAGATACTTCATTTTTCCAAAGTCATTTGTTTATATTTCATTAAGATATTGACTTACAAGAACGGTATTTATCAGAAAAAATTGTAAAACATAAACGAGTCGTTTTTTTGATTAAACAAACAAATATTGTTCATAGCATCCGTGATATAAAAAACAATAATTTTGAAATATGTGCAATAAAAATATGTGCAATGAAGATAAAAATTAAGATGTGAAAATGATGGAACATGTCACAATCATGTAAACTTCTATAACTGTTCATGTCAACTGGGATATGTAGGTATCAATTGCGAAATAGGTAAAACTGAATATGGAAAAGTAATAATAAAGTTATAAATGACGAAAAGTCGTTTCAGCTTTGTAAGTAATGTATAAAATCAGAGTGGTGATCAATTCAAACTATTTGATACTTGTTTTTTTGTTAAAGAGACATTTCACTCATTTTTTCGCTGTCGAGTCGATCTTAATTAGTTATATATTTAAAATGATTGACTTTTATAATTATGAGAGACCAATTATTGATAATGAAAACTCTTAATAAAGTATAAAAATTGCCTGAAAAATAAAAAATATAAGAGAAAACATATCAACACGACAGAACGCAGCCCCCACACAACTCTGTTACACCAGCAAATTACGGGAGAGGACAAAAGGGCGGTGAATAGAATGGGGGAGACATGTAATAAGTGAAATGAAATGAAAGAACTAAAATGGCCGATACGGGCATAAAGATTACCCTTTTTATAAGTCAAAGGCTATTCAAACAATATTTGGTGAGTCATATGGATGATTGATTATACACATGGAGTAGACACAATAATATTATGACACAAACTAAAGTTACTTTGACTTGTACCTTATCCACTAAAATTTGAATTGACATTATGCCACTCTAACTATATCGCTCCTGTTTTCAGAAATTGACGAATGCCAAAGTAATCCATGTAAGAACGATGGAACTTGTTATGATTATGTTAACTCATATAAGTGTACTTGCCAACCGGGCTATGAAGGACTTTATTGCGAAAATGGTAAGAAAAGTTCAAGAAAAATATAATAGCAGCATGTCTTTAACGAACTTAAAATGTTTCCAAAACTTATCATAAAAAGCAATGGTTCATGTCACCGATGATACGAAGACATTAATTTTGATAACATATGCGCTATAAAAATAAATATAGTGGTAAATGCTAAACACTTTTTTTTCATATTAGCAGAGCTGTTTCATAACACATATACTTTTTATTTGATTTGTTCTTTCACGTCTGTTTGAAGAAATAAACGAATGTTATAGTAGTCCATGTTACAACAATTGAACTTGTAATAATTATGTCAACTTTCATAACTATACTTGTCAATCTGGCTTTGAAGGAACTAATTGTGAAATTGGTAAATAAAATAGATTAAGTATATAGAACTAACAAATGTGTTAAATTAACTGAGAATGAGTCTTAGTATCAAACAGCTAAATATTGTTTTTATTTAAATGTCAACAATTATACTCGTGTATAGCTACCTCTCTCCTGGGCATCAGTCGAATATTCCACTATCACTCACTGTCTGAATTAACGTGAGTGTATTCAGTGAGCTGCGAAGGGAGCGTATATAGCTACAAAACCTCATTCCGACTCGGAATCATTATTGGATCCATTCGTATCAATGTAGTCTCTTTTTCCTTTTCAAAGTCAAACAGTCCATATCAAACCCATATCACACCCCATATAGCCTCGTTTTCATTTTCTGTGTCCAGAAAGGTATATATCAAATCCAAATCACACCCTATATAGCCTTTGTCCTAATGGTTAATATTGGACCCATATCGCACTCCATTTAGCATGGTATTTATTTTTGAGTGTGCAAAATCTGTATTAAATTCTTTTTGAAATTGAATTAACAAAGTTCTGTCAAAATGTAAAATAAATATGGTACACACCAATGTATTATTACCTGATGAAATTTTTAACGTTAAAGCTGCAAGTGCCAAAGAAACTCCACAAATTCCATTCCGCTATAATTTTGTTATTTTTTTTACAAGAGTTAAGAAAATACACATATTCATTCAAGCATATTTTAATAGTGATAGGATAATCTTTTCATTTTTTTTACTTTAAATATTTATAGAAATAAACGAATGTAACAGTAACCCTTGTGAAAATGGTGGAACATGTAACAATCACGTGGACTTCTATAACTGTTCATGTCAACTTGGATATGTAGGCATTAATTGCGAAACAGGTAAAACTCAATGTTCAAAAGAAAAAATATTTTGAATAAATGACAAAAAGCAATAAAATCCATTTCAATTACAGGCATTTTACTACTATAACTGCTTTTGTCAACAATGTTAGGATAATATAAGTAAAAATTGTAATAAAAGGCACTGACTTAGCCACGGAAGCGTAAGATGTTACAACAAAGTTTATAGATGAACCAATCCACTTTAACTGTTTGGTTATTTTTAATTTAATGTAAATTAAACACATATTAGTTCAATAATATGTTTGTATCTTTGTAAATATAAATGAATGTGACAACAACCCATGTGAAAATGTGTTTGTATCTGTATAGATATTAATGAATGTGACAGCAACCCATGTTAAAATGTGTTTGTATCTGTATAGATATAAATGAATGTGACAGCAACCCATGTGAAAATGTGTTTGTATCTGTATAGATATTAATGAATGTGACAGCGAGCCATGTGAAAATGTGTTTGTATCCTTATAGATATAAATGACGTGACAGCAACCCATGTGAAAATGTGTTTGTATCTGTATAGATATTAATAAATGTGACAGCGAGCCATGTGAAAATGTGTTTGTATCTTTATAGATATAAATGAATGTGACAGCAACCCATGTGAAAATGGTGGAACATGTAACAATCATGTTAACTTCTATTATTGTTCATGTCAACTGGGATATGTAGGCATTAATTGCGAAACAGGTAAACCTGAATGTGCAAAAGAAAGAATAATTGACAAAGGACAATAGAATCTTTTACAATCATTTTTACTACTGTAACTGCTCTTGTCAACAATGTTTGGATAATATAAGTATATATTGTAATAAAACTTAACAGAAATGTTTAGAAACCATTTTCTTGTTAATATAAACACAATTTGTGAAAAGTTTTTTTTCCGGATGAATCTAGCATTTCTTTATCATTTAGCGATATGTACATGCTAGCACATAATTTCAAAAGGCACTGACTGAGCTATGGAAGCGTTATGTTTTTGTGATACTTCTTGTTTCTTAAGTCAAACGTAATTAATATTTAATTAAGATATTGATTAACAAGAACGATATTAATAAAAAATGATTATGTTTAACGTAAATGCATCGTGTTTCGTTTAAACAAAACAAAAGAATTTTTGTTCATGTCATCCGTTATATGAAAACTATCATTGTGAAAAATATGTGCAATAAAAATATGTGCAGTGAAAATAAATATAGAAGTAAATGCAAAAAATGCTTTTCATCATAGCAGAGATTTTGTATATCGAAATTACACTTATGATTTTTTCTTTTGTTCTTTCACATCTTTTTGTAGACATAAACGAATGTGAAAGTAATCCATGCAAGAACAACGGAACTTGTAATGATTATGTCAACTTTTATAACTGTACTTGTCAACCTGGCTACGGAGGAAGTAATTGTGAAATTGGTAAGAAAATTGCATAAGATTATAAAACTAACGAATGTGTAAAATTATAAAGTTTTTGCCGAACTATCGCCTCGATATCTAACTAACTGAGTATGGGTCTTAATATCAAGAAACTTAAGATTGCTTTATTATAATTGTCAGCTATTATATTTTTACTTAGCTACACAACTTCAGTTTCGCCCAGCGCATCGTCAAGTATACGTCTGACAGCTGTATACTCATCCAAGAATTCAGTGTTAGATCCATTCTTAAAACTTAAGCCTCCTTTCCATTTCCATAGTCAAACAGACCATTTAAACCAATATCACACCCCATATAGCCTCGTTTTCGTCTCCTGAGGCCAAAAGGTTAAAATCAAATCTATATTACGTCCCATATGGTCTCGTTTTCATTTCCTGTGTCCAGATGGTTGTAATTGAATACATAATTGCCCTCTAGCTAGCCTGGTTTTCATTTTTAATATCAAATTATTTTTTTGTTATTGTAGTAACACAGTTCTATATGTACCTCTTCCAACAGAGGTTTGAATCCAGAAGAACTCCACATTGTACTCAACATTGCATAAAAACCATAAAAACGTTAAAGTCGCAAGTGCTACAAAAACGTCACATAATTGTAAATTATTCCATTATAATTGTTTTATTATTTTGTTTACAAGAGTGAAGTTAATAAACATATACATTCAATGATACATATTTTGTCAGTGATAAAGTTTTTATTTTTTTCATTTTATCTTTTTACTTTACATCCTATTAGAAATAAATGAACGTGGCAGCAATCCATGTAAAAATGCGGAACATGTAACAATCATGTGAACTTCTATAATTGCTCTTGTCAATGTAATAAATGGCGAAAAGTTTTTCAGCTTCGTAATAAATGTATTAAACATATTGATGATCAATTCAAACTATTTGTATACTTTTTTATTTTATTTGTTAAAGTGACATTTCATTCATTTAAAAATAGAAAACAAAAACTAAAGTTATTCTTATTTTGACCTGTGCACTATCCACTAACATTTGAATGGGCATCATACCACTTTAACTGTATCACTTCTGTTCTCAGAAACCGACGAATGCCAAAGTAATCCATGTAAGAACGATGGAACATGTTATGATGATGTTAACTTATATAAATGTTCTTGCCAACCGGGCTATGAAGGAATTTATTGTGAAAATGGTAAGAAAAGTTCAAGTAAATGTTTAAAGATAATAGCAGCATGTCTTTAACGAACTTAAAACTGTTAACAAAAACGACTGTTCATGTCACCGATCATACGAAGACATTAATTGTGAAAATATATGTGCTATGAAAATAAATATAGTGGTAAATGCCAAACACTTTTTTCATCTTAGCAGAGCTGTTTCATAACTCATATAATTTTTATTTGATTTGTTTTTTTACGTCTGTTTGTAGACATAAACGAATGTGAAAGTAATCCATGTTACAACAATGGAACTTGTAATGATTATGTCAACTTTTATAACTGTACTTGTCAATCTGGCTTCGAAGGGACTAATTGTGAAATTGGTAAGAAAAATAATAAAAAAATAAAATAGATTAAGTATATAGAACTAACAAATGTGTAAAATTAACTTAACTGAGAATGAGTCTTAGTATCAAACAGCTAAATATTGTTTTTATTTAATTGTCAACAATTATACTCGTGTATAGCTACCTCTCTCCTGCGCATTGGTCGAATGTTCCACTATCACTGTCTGAATTAACGTGAGTGTATTCAGTGAGCTGCGAAGGGAGTGTATATAGCTACAAAACCTCATTCAGACTCGACTATCGTCTCGTCAATATACGTTTCACAGCTGCGAACTTGTTTATTAGATTTCGGTATTGTACTCGATGAATACACTTTCAGCATTTGAACCACGTGATGTTCCAATATAAATCATAATTGAATCCATTCGTATCAATGTAGCCTCTTTTTCCTTTCCAAAGTTTAACAGTCCACATCAAACCCATATCAACCCCATATAGCCTCGCTTTCATTTTCTGTGTCCAGAAAGGTATATATCAAATCCATATAGTCTTTGTTCTAATGGTTAATATTGGATCCATATCGCACTCCATTTAGCATGGTATTTATTTTTGAGTGTGCAAAATCTGTATTAAATTCTTCTTGAAATTGAAGTAACAAAGTTCTGTCAAAATGTAAAATAAATATTGTACACATCAATCTATAATCACCTGATGAAATTTTAAACGTTAAAGTTGCAAGTGCCAAAGAAACTCCACAAAATCTATTCCGCTATAACTGTTTTGTTATTTTTTTTACAAGAGTTAAGAAAATACACATATTCATTCAAGCATATTTTAACAGTGATAGGATAATCTTTTCATTTTTTGTTTTAATTTAAATATTTATAGGAATAAACGAATGTAACAGTAACCCTTGTGAAAATGGTGGAACATGTAACAATCACGTGAACTTCTTTAACTGTTCATGTCAACTTGGATATGTAGGCATTAATTGCGAAACAGGTAAAACTCAATGTGCAAAAGAAAGAATGAAATTATAAAGTCAATCACTTCAAGTAATTATTGGAAAATATATCTTTAATATTAAAGTTATAATTGTAGCATGGCATTTTATTATACTTCGTTTTCTTTTAGGTTTACGTTATCAATATTTCTTTACAATAATGATAAACAAGAAGTGGTTTGTTTAATAAAAGTAAATATTCTATGTTCAATGTACATCATTTCTAAACAACAGAGAGAAAATTGACAGTTTACATAACACAAATTTGATTTTATTTTACTTTTCATCATGTCCTTCTAAAAAGATATAAATGAATGTGGCAGTACCCCATGTAATAATGGCGGAACTTGTAACGATCATGTAAATTTCTATAACTGTTCATGCCAACCTGGATTTGAAGGCAAAGACTGCGAAAAAGGTAAAATGGATGTGCAAAAGAATACATACATGTATATTTAACATTTTCACCTTTGTTATTTTTACATTGAAAATAGTTTCTTAGACCACAATGGATCGGTTTTTTTTATCTCTGCTTGATTTTTCTGATCCTTCAATATTAGCTTATTGGAATCTAGCCTATGAAAGGACAATGTAATACTCTATAAAATTATTCTAAGCTCTGTAACTGCTCTTGTAAAGAGTGCTATAAAGTTAAGCTAAACCTTGTAAGTAAACTAAATGAAATTATTGTGTAGGTACCATTATCTTGTGAGCATTGCGAAAAACCATAAGTTTTCCCTGGAAAATATTTAACATTAATGTATCAATATTGTCAGTCTTTCGTAACCTATATTGTATTGTCACATGAAAAAAGTATTGTGGAATGTTGAATTTTTGTCATAAAAGTAGTAAAAGTCTTCAAACTTCTGTACGCACTAGTAATACACTGAACCTACTGCCAAAAGAAACAGAAGCAAAATGATATTTTGTGTAACGTTTTGAAAATTCTAACAAAGAACACGCTAAGAACTGTTCTTTAGAAATTAAATTGAAGCATTTCTAAGACATAATGGCCTTTTAATCAAGTTCCAATCCTCAATATCGTTCAACGACATGTAAAATCTTGACCCGCCAAGATTTCGATGCATGAGTTGTAATCAATCCAAATTAATAATATATTAATTCTTATTTGATACTTTTCACTCCATTCTATAGACATCAACGAATGCCAAAGTAGCCCATGTAAGAATAATGGAACTTGTTTCGATTATGTCAACTTGTATAACTGTGCATGTCAATTGGGCTATGAAGGAAAACATTGTGAAAATGGTAAGTAATATGAAAATAATATTTTTTCTGTATAGGACGGAAAAGTTGCGACAGTATTTAATTTTTTCCGAATATATCACACATTTACCGATATGTAAATCAATGCAAAACCTCGCCATTATACAAATTACATATCATTACCTTAGTGCAATAACTGATTTAGTGCTATTAAATTAAGTTTAAACAATATTTAATTCACAAAATTATACATGGTAGTACATTCCAAATTGTATTGAGTTTGTCATACATATATAATTAACATATTATGAAAGAAAGAAAAACGAACACAATATATTAATTTTGGAATCGGATATGAAAACAAGTATAAAATACTTTTGTTGATTCATCTCCTAATGTGTTGTAAGAAGAATGGATGTGATTCAAAAAGTATAAGGATATAGATTTAATAATAATTATTTTTAGGTTTCGCTGCTACAGTGCTTTGAGTTTTGGTCTTAGATATCGGTATTGATTTAGAAGGACTTATTCCGCTATTGCACTAAGGCGACGAATTATATTAATTTTAACATACATTCTAGTATTGTATTTGATTTAACAAGGTGAAAATTTGAATTGAAACTGTAATTTCGTTTTTTGTTACGATTTATTTCATCATTTTCAGGGTTTAACACTTGATTAATAAAGGCGAAATTAGAAAATTTCGTAAATGCTTCTTTTACAATCTTAAATATTTTATTTTGTAAAATCACTAAAACACGAAAATTATGAAAAAGACATTTGATTAATCTGTTCATGCAAGTCCACTTAACACCGTTTTGGGCAAATAACCTATAAAACAATTCCCGTAATGTGAATGTTCAACATATTTGTTGAATTTCTAGTTAAATTTGTTCCTTTTACACCTCTAAAAAGATATCAATGAATCTGACAAAATAGTTGACCGTGTAACGATAATGTATGTAAACTTTGTAATTGGTCATGTGAACATGGAATTGAAGTCATCGCTTGCGAAAAATGTAATTAAATTATTTTGATGTAGCATTGAATGTCAAACACCTTTCATCTTCGAGTTTTGTGTTTTAAAAAAAGTTGTATTGAATCCAAAATAAATAAATACTTGTTTTGTTTGATACTTTACTCTCTTTTATGCGTAGAAATTAATGAATGCGAAAGTAATCCATGTAAGAACGATGGAACTTGTTATGATTATGTCAACTTTTATAACTGCTCATGTCAACCGGGCTATGAAGGAATAAACTGTGAAAATGGTAGGTAAAATGTGTGAGTTTGGTCTGTACAGAATGAAAATGTTGCAACAAATTTTCTATATTATTATTTAACGATATAAATTTTTCTTCAAAACCTCGTCAATATAAAATTTACATAATATTAATATGTAAACTACGTAACTTTAAATCAAACAGGTATAAAACACTTGATGGTAATTTCCAGTCTATCTAGTGTTACCTTTCACCCATTTTTTGTAGGTCAAAACTTTTCATTGAAATGAGATTCTTTCGTCATACGTCTCTCAACGTTATCATGATTCCTTTAAAAAGTATTTTATGTGAAAGTGACTATCGTGAAAAGGTTGATATTACAGGTTCAATTTAATTTGTTTTGAGCAAAAAACATACAATTCTATTTCTATTCATAATTTTCTAGCTTAACTTGTACCCTTTTAACTTCTAAATAGATATAAATGGATGTGACAGTAGCCAATGTGAAAATGGTGGAACATGTAATGATCATATGAACTTTTATAATTGTTCATGTCAACCTGGATTTGAAGGAATAAATTGTGGAATAGGTAAAAAATATTGTGGGAAAGGTTAATACTAACTTTGGTTATAAAACACTAGTTAATTTTTGCCTTTTATGTCTCAATAATAGATATTTTTGGTTTCCATATTTTATTTTTAATCGTACTTTGCTTACTTCTGTTGTTTTTTTTCTCTTTATTTTTATCTTTTGCTCTTCTGTTAATAGAAATTGACAAATGCGAAAATAGCCCCTGCGCAAACGCTGAAAAGTGTACCTGACATTTGAATTTCTTTAACTGTTCTCGTAGTAAAGCTTTGAAAAAATATGTGAAAATTGTAAGTATAGTTTATGAAACTATTTGAATATGTTAATTCACATTAAATTGACAGTAAAAGTAAGACTTTTACAAATACATTTATACCTTTTTTTTCAGAAATAATCTAATTTGTTTTGATTCTGCGATATGTAAATTCATTTATAATTGAAAAATATTAACAGATTGAGCAAGTTTTAATAATTGTACATGAAAAACTTGATGATAAAACTTTCATGTTCATCATTTTAATACTCTAAACCTTTTATAGAATTTACAGTGACACTGAATTGAATATTGAAGCGTACAATGTAGTTCTTTATCCCATAATCTTAGATATAGTTCAATGTGAAATGAGCCATGTTGAAACAATGTGAAAGTTACAAGTGTACACTGTTTCTTCTTTAACTGAAAAAGTTCATATTTTACAAACGTTAAGGAAACATGTTTATTACTATTTTGACTAGACTAGGACTTTTTGAAATATATAAATAATACTCACAGTTGCCCATATGAAAATCAGGCTCGGAGTCAATGATTCAGGAAATGTAACTACATTACAATTATATCCCCAAAAACCTATTACATTTACAATGATTTTAAAATTATATATATTTTGTTAAAATACTTTGGCAAAAGTAATGCCCTATATGCACGACACCTGTTCTTCTATAGAAACAACATGTTTAGAAAAAAACATGTAGTAGGAATTGCATGTTTTAGATAAAACTAAGACGCATTGATATTGATTTAACTCAGTCATCGAGTTTGTAATGTATGATATAATGCAAATAGTCTAGTTCAAAATTATCGTTGTTTATAGAGGCGCATTGTGTCTGGCCTAAAACTGGTCAAATTTTGAATTAGTTTATGCTTAAAGTATATTGCATTTACATTCTGATACAAGTAAAATTTCAACAATATGATTCAGCTTGTAATTATTTAAATGATAATTTATAGTGATAACTTCATCTAAATAATATAAATTGTATAAGATAAAATGGATATAAAAATGAAATATTGAAAGGTTTTACCTAAAATTCATTAGAATAAAATTTGATAATCTTTCTTTAAATTGTTCATGTCTTGAATACGGTTATGATGTATTGAATGTTAAATATATTCAAATCAAAAACTATGTTTTCGGCTTTTGCTTCGTTAGATTAAGATAGGCGCAGAAAAATGAAGACAGAAAAGAAACAATAACTAAAAAAAAAACAAAAAAACAAAAAAACCACACACATATTATAATACGATTATCTTAAGATTAAGATTTCAAACTAAAAAACAAGTTAAATTATTGTACCTTTTACTTATGTCCTAAAAAATATCCATTCAACCATTTAAACACTTGTGAAAACAAGAAGGACATGCATCTGTTGTCACGACAGAATGTTCGAAGTATTTAATATTAGAATAATTTATATCTGCCGCTAATGAAATCTTCATGCTACTTAAAGAGTCAAGTTGTTCTTACTTTAAAATCAATACATGATAAAGACTTTAAAATCAACGCATGATAAAGGGCTACACCATTTTTAGTATATAGTCAAAAGTGTTCCTTTTCTTTTTAAACACCTTTTTGTAATAATGATGATCAAAGTGACGGCTGTTTTCTTGTGTACTTTGCCTTTTTAACTTAAGTTTAGAATGCATCTTGTCAGCGTTTATCTTCCGTAACGTAAGAACTTGAAAATTACACAGAATATGTGCAAAAGTCACGCCGAATCGTGCAAATCTAGAACCGAAACAGCACGGTTAAATTTTTGCACAATTTCTTTTATTTTCACATTTCTTTGTAACGGGATATACACAGCGATGACAATCAAGAAAGAAATATGATTTTATCAAACGAAGGCTGAAGCGAAATAGTTGACTAAAAATAATACAAAATACTTTAAAAGGAAATGAACTTACTGTTTTCATCCTTTTAGGAAGACATGTTTTAAAATTTACACATCATCATTTTCTACTTTATCATGCACGTCATAAGACTATCATTTGCACGTTTGCTTTCTAATTGTGATGAATTTCTATAATTTTTATAATCAGGTCTTTATACTATAATAAGCATTGTGTATTGAAGATTCTTAAGAATACCCTCATTTGCTGTATTTACACATCGATGCGAAGAACCGAACTAGTGGTTTTTTGTTACAAATATTTTATCTCTATTTCATTAGATGATTTGTTATGAATAATAATTCACACTATGTTCTTTCGTCTCCATTGGCTTTCAGGTAACTGTTCCTCTTATCTGTGCATATGCTTCGTTGTTGTTTCCTTGTTCATCTTTATTCTGATCTACATATTTATCATCGTTATACTTCGGCAAAGAAGACAACTAGAGAAAGCAAAGAATCACATGACGAGGTAATTAATGCTTGTGTTCGACCTTTCATAGAAAAAAATGTATACTGCAAGATAATTCAGTCGGCAACGATGTGTAAAAACTTTCAGCAGTTTTATTCATCATTTATACAAAAGTTAAAAATAAATCTTTGTTGTTCTTAGAATAGACGATCCTGGCTTAATAATAATCATGATACAGATACTCAAAAGAGGGTGCCTTGTTCAAAACCACGTGATTTTGAGAACAAATCTATTCGTTTCAATTACTCAAGTGTTTACAAATCACAACATTGTTGCTTTATTTGATACTTTTATTACGAGGTAACAGTTGTACAGATGACTTGTCTATAAAACTTACACTATGTTTGCACTCTCATGTGAACAGTTTTAAGTGATATTTACCATTCTGGTTTTATACTCTTTTCTTACAGAGGACATCGTGCTTCCGATTTGCATCATAACATGGATGAAGAAACTGTTGTAGGCAAGAAGAGGGAATTGACCTTTGAACCACATATGCCAATGTTTGATGAAAAAGGTTATTTGTTTTATGAAACTAAAATGAATGATTAAAAGAAATGAAATAAATATAAACATAAAGACATGGTATTAAATAATTTATGTTTTAAGAAGAACACTATAGAACATCGTCTTTTTTACCAAAAATTAAATCAGGAGCAACATTTACATTAATCTTTGTTAGAAATTTGTAGCCTCTTTCCTCCATATATTGTGTCAAATTTTGTTTCCCGCCCACCCATTTGTTATGTTCTATCGAGATAAGTTTGATGTTGACTTTATCCCATGGTAACGTATCAAGAACTCCGCGTTCTGCACCTTCGACATCTAAGCTAAAATAGTCCACATCAAGTCGTCCAACCGCAAGCATGATGGTGTACAATGGAAAACACTGGACTTGTAAATAACGTGTGTCATTGTTGCCCTGGTAACCCTCCACAACTTTTCCTTTTACAGCATTATTTGCAGTGTAAAATGTTTCCTACATTTAAAAAAACATCTTTATTAAAACAATATTTCTAGACAACGTGTCTCACAGAATATTTTATATAAATGTGCACGATAGGTATACGGGAGAAAGGTGGATAAAAATGCAAGCGAATGAAAAACAAACAAAAATATAAAGAACCACTATAAGTCTTATCTAAATTTTATATAGATATATTTCCACCCTGTGACTTAGCTTGATTCAAATATAAAGTTATTTTAGCAAATAATATTGATGCGTGTCCATACAGCCAAGAATTTCAGCATTTCTTTCAGAAATACCTTGTTGTTTTTATGGTTAATAACAATGATGATAATGATGAAAAGAGAACCTTTTTTAAAGTTTTCTTAAGTATCGACTATGGCTTTAGATATAGGCATGTTTGTGGAACAATACTTACAATAGATGAATACTGTTTAGTTGAGAGGCATGCATTCACCGTGTAACATTTTCTATGTTTATTTGTTAGAGTTTCGAATGTTGTGGGGTTCGGCTCAATTAGAATACCGGTCCAATTTCGATACCGTTCAAGAAACAGACTATTCGATAAATGCTCACCATTATGGGCGCCGCTGTCAAGAAAGAATCCGTTACGCTGAAAAAGAAAACAAAATAAAACTTTAACATATCATAAACCATTCGGATATATATTTATGTAACCTATAGATCTATAACTACTCATTATTGTTTTCCCTGGCTTTTAAACATTTTGCAGGCTGATAATCGCCTTCCGGTGTAACTCTGTCGTGTATCAATCTCTTATTACTTTCATTCAGATTTTATCAGATATCCTGACTGCAGATAAACAGTTCATGCAATACATGTTATTGATTAGCATATATAAACGTTCAGTAAGTAAAGTGCTACAGGATAGTGCAAGTACAATTATTCGCTTCAAGATAGAATCCAATACAAAAACCGTAAAATATTAAAAAACATGTTTATAAGCATGCTAATTCGAGAATAACAGCTGTCATATTTTCTCTTATAAACCCATAATTCACGAAAAGACGAAAAGGAAAAAACAATTCATTAATTAATATACAGCCAGGTCAATCATAATTGAAGGCAAATATAATAACCGTCGGAGCATTGAATGTAGGAAATGACAGAATTTTGCTTACTGATTTTTTATTACTTTTTTACAAAGTGTATTCCTTTCGTTACAAATTCAATTTTCACTCAAACAGTAATTATATTTCAATTATTATCAAACATTTGTATTTGCTGTTAAACATTTTAACAATTGTTACGAGTGTTTTTCTCTCTAATGATAGGATAAGTGCGGCAATTTTATGTTACAGTAAAATGAGCATAATATGCTTACACTGATCAGTTTAAATAATATACTTCTTGTATGACATGTTTTATTTGATTTTTTTTATTAGAACTATACAAAATGATTTTTAGTTGGGTTTTACGTCGCACCAACACGGTAGAGTTCATATGGCGACTTTCCAGCTTTACTGGTGCAGGGAGACCTCAGGTGTTCCTCAGTATATTATTACAGGCTTGAGCGAGCACCTGAGTTGAACCACCGACGTTCTGTAAGTTAGCTGGATAGTTTCGTTCGTGAACACAATACGCTTACGTTGCTAATTTTATATGTCATTCGGAAATTATTTGTCATTAAAGGCTTTTATCTGGGACAACAACAAAGTGAACAGTCCAATATGAAAACAAATATTGGATACAACGGCGTCCTATGTTAGCTTGTTATTCTTATAGCAACAAAGTGCTGATAAGACATACAGGTAGCTTGTAAATCGTTGGCAAAAATATGGCGCCTGATAAAATGCGATATAAAGTAATTTAATATCAATGACAAATTTATTTTTCAAGAAACATTTTAATATTTTATATCAATTGAAAGGTCTGTTAACTCATATTTAATACAGCAAAAAAATAAAATTTCAAAACTTGCAGTCACGTGATATACTAGTAATCCATAACAAGTCTTTGGTTGAAAATAACTGATACAGAATTAATTTATATAAGTATCATTCTTAAGATACATTTAACCTGATATACCTACCTTTTGTTGTAAATATTCATCCACGAACTGGGTTTGTCCTGGTGATGGATTTTCATTGTTTGGATGAGTAAGGTTGTATGGTAATGTAGATGGTTGGTGAAGAAAATATTTCTTAATAATTTCCACTAAGTCACTGTTGTCTTGAGCCGCCTTTGCGTTGTTGAGATGAGCTAAAACGTCTTCATATATGTCACTTTTCAACTGCAGTATCTCCTTTACATATTCATACTGCCTGATCTTAAGAGTAAATAATGTTATCACAATAATCACTACGAAAATGAACCATTTTGATTGAAATTTCATCCTGATTTATTATACAACAGAAAAAAAAAACCAGAATGAAAATCAAGTTCCTGCAATTACTATTGAAATTACACAGAAAAATACAGTGTTCAGTCTAAGAGCGGTAAAATAACTTATCCTGTGCAATATATGATGCTAATTAAGCAAAATCTTTCTCCTTGGTCGAACATAAAAGAGATAATAAGAGCAAGCTGTTGAGATATTACCGGTAAAACAATTCACTATAAGGCTTTATAAATTAATCCGATTATGACGCAAGATAAAATTGAGCCGCGTCACGACAAAACCAACATAATGGAATATACTATACACACTTATAATAAATGTATTGGGAATGCTGTGAATCTATCGTTTTTAAGCTTTGATATTTCTACTAATGTGTCTTAAAGTCTTCATATAAAACAATTCACTAGTCTGATGCTACAACAATTCTAATGAAAATTAAGAAAAATGAAATCTAAAATGTATATATGCTCACCAATCTAAATAGTATTATCCGCTGAAAATGTTAAAGGTAACAATAGAAATCACATGTGCAAATACTAGATGATTTATCTCAGTCCGTCATACAGACTTTAAGAATCCAATTGTTGCATATAGATTTATGGGTAGGTCAAGTTTTTACATTTCGTTGAATGATATTGAGGATTGAAACTTGATTATAAACCCATTATGCCTTTTAGAAATGCATTCAATTTCATTTCTAAAGAACAGTTTTTTCTGTAAGAATTTTCAAAACGTTACACATTGGCAAAATGACATTTTACATCTGTTGTTTGTTGTTGTTGTTTTTCTTTGCAGCAGGTGCAGTGTATTAATAGTGCATACATATATTGGAGGACTTTTGCTACTTTTTGGACAAATCATTCAACATAAGCACTACTTTTTCTTGTGACAAATACAAAATAGGTTTCCATAGGCTGACCATATTGATACATTAATGTTAAATGTTTTTCGGGTAAAACTTATTTTTTTCCGCAATACTTACAAGATAATGGTGCCTGAACAATAATTTCATTAAGTTTTCTTACAAGGTTTAGTTTAACTTTATAGCACTCTTTACAAGAGCAGTTACAGAAATTAAAATATTTTTAAAGAAGATTATATTGTCCTTACTTGGCTACATTCGCATATGCTAATATTGAAGGAACAGAAAAGTCAAGCAGAGATAAAAAACGATTCATTGTGGTCCGTACAAACTATTTTCAATGTAAAAACAACAAAGGTGAAAACGTTAAATATTTACTGCTGTATTTATTCTTTTACACATCCATTTTACCTTTTTCGCAGTCTTTGCCTTCAAATCCAGGTTGGCATAAACAGATATAGAAATTTACATGATCGTTACAAGTTCCGCCATTATTACATGGGTTATTGCCACATTCATTTATATCTATTTAGAAGGAAATGATGAAAAGTAAAAAAAATCAAATTTGTGTTATGTTAACTGTCAAGTTTTCTCTCTGTCGTTTAGAAACGATGTGCATTGAACATATAACATTTACTTGTATTACACAAACCACTTCTTGTTTATCATTATTGTAAAGAAATTTTGATAACGTAAACCGAAAAGAAAACGAATTATAATAAAAATAACATGCTACAATTATAACTTTAAAATTGAAGATATATTTTCCAATATCTTCTTAACGAGACTGCCTTGATAATTTCGTTCTTTCTTCTGCACATTGAGTTTTACCTGTTTCGCAATTATTGCTTTTATATTCCAGTTGACATGAACAGTTATAGAAGTTCACATTATCGTTCCATAGTCCATCATTTTCACAAGGGTTACTGTTACATTCGTTTATTTCTATAAATATCTAAAGTAAAAAATGAAAAGATTATCCTATCAATGACAAAATATGCTTGAATGAATATGTAAAACAATTACAAAACAGTTAAAGCGGAATGGATTATGTGGAGTTCCTTTGGCACTTGCAACTTAAACGTTAAAAATTTCATCAGGTGATTATACATTGGTGTGTACCATATTTATTTTACTTTTTGACAGAATTTTTTGCACACTCAAAAATCATACAATGCTAAATGGAGTGCGATATGGATTCAATATTAACAATTAGTACAAAGGCTATATTAGGTGTGATATGGATTTGATATGTACCTTTCTGGACACAGAAAATGAAAACGAGGTAATATGGGGTGTCGTATGGGTTATGGTCACTTGCACTTTCTAGTACCGTCCATGAACAGGCTCGATCAAACCAAGCCTATTTTGCCGTGTTGGGCTTTCGTTAGGGATTCTGTTTTTCTCTATTTTATTGTCACATCAGTGTTATTTGTGCCGTGTGGCGGCTATAAAAAGTATCCCCGTACATTTAATCAATGGTGTTATATGTTCGATCCTTGAAGATCGTTCAGCACGACATTATTGTTGTGTATACATTTTAGATAGTACTTTTAGTTTATAGTATTTGGTCTTTTTCAACTTGGGTGGTTTCAGTATTCCTACTTGAATACTGTAAAATCACCCTTTGGATATGTTGCCTGCTTTTAAATTTGTCTTTTTACGTCTTATCTATGATATAAAGGCTTCATAACCTCAGATCCCTTTACAAAATTCCGTTTTATTTAGTTCCGCCCATTGTTTTCTCGTTTAGGGCACACACATTCTTTTACTTGGGGACCATACGCCGCTTTTCATGGAATGACACTACTGTCTCACATCGAAGGTTCCATGATGACCGCGTATGAACATCTGCGGATGTTTATTAATTCAAATTTTCACCATTTTTTGTGTTTAGATGTTGAATTCTGCTTAAGCCGGTGGTAGGGGACGTGGACGGTAACTTGCACTTTCCAGTACCGTCCATGAACAAGCTCAATCAAACCGAGCCTGCAACATTTTACAATTTTGCCGTGTTGAAATTTATTCAGGGATTCTGTTTTTCTCTATTTTGATGTGGACTGTTTGACTTTGAAAATGAAAAGAGGCTACATTGATACAAATGGATCCAATTCTGATTTCTATTGGAAAATCACGTGGTGAAAATGCTGAAAGTGCATTAATTGAGTACAATACCGAAATCTAATGAACAAGTTCGCAGCTGTGAAACGTATATTGACGAGGCGACAGCTGAGTCGAAATAAGGTTTTGTAGCTATATACGATCCCTTAGCAGCTCGCTGAATACACTCCCGTTAATTCAGACAGTGAGTGATAGTGGAACATTCGACCAATGCGAAGGACAGAAGTAAGCTATACACGAGTATTTATTGTTGACATTTAAATAAAAAACAAATATTAGCTGTTTGATACTAGACTCATTCTCAGTTAAGTTAATTTTACATTTGTGAGTTCTATTTATATAATCTATCTTATTTTTTTTTATTATTTTTCTTACCAATTTCACAATTAGTTCCTTCGAAGCCAGGTTGACAAGTACAGTTATAAAAGTTGACATAATCATTACAAGTTCCATTGTTGTTACATGGATTACTTTCACATTCGTTTATGTCTACAAACAGATGTGAAAGAACAAAAGAAAAATCATTAGAGTCATATCGATATACAAAATCTCTGCTATGATGAAAAGCATTTTGGCATTTACTACTACATTGTATATTTATTTTTATTGCACATATTTTTATTGCACATATTTTTCACAATAATAGTTTAAATCCTTAAAGATCGTTCAGCACAGCATAATTGTTGTGCTTGTGTTACTTTAGTTCTTTCTTTTCGGCATCTTTCTTGTTGGGTGGTTTCAGTATTCCTAAATTGAATACTGTTGAATCACCCTTAGAATGTGTGGTCTTCTTTTTAAATTTGTCTTTTGACGTCATATCTGTGATATGCAGGCTTCATAACCTCAGATCCCCTTTCAAAATTCCATTTTATTTAGTTCCGCCCATTGTTTTCTCGTTTAAGGTACATGCTTTTTTAATTTGGGAACCATATGCCGCTTTTCATGGAATGGCACTAACGTGTCACATTGAAGGTTCCATGATAACCGCCATATGAACACATTTGCGGATGTTTCAAAATTCTAAATTTTACCAGTTCATGTTAAATGTTGAATTCTGCTTAAGCCGGTGCTAGGGGGCGTGGACGGTAGTTTGCACTTGACAGTACCGTCCATGAATAGGCTCAATCAAACCGAGCCTGCAATATTTTTCCGCGTTGGGCTTTCTTTAGGGATTCTTATATCTCTCTATTCTATATCACGGATGACATGAACAATATTTTTTTGGTTTTGTTTAAACGAAACACGATGCATTATGTTATACATAATCTTTTTTTTTTAATATCGTTCTTGTAAGTCAATATCTTAATTAAATATTAATTACGTTTGACTAGAAGTATCACAAAAATCTAACGCTTCCAGGCTCAGTCAGTGCCTTTTGAAAATATGTGCTAGCATGTACATATCGTTAAATGATAAAGAAATGATAGTTATATCCAGAAAAAAAACTGTTCACAATTTGTGTTCATACTAACAAGAAAATGGTTTCTAAACATTTCCGTTAAGTTTTATTACAATATTTACTTATATTATGATAGCATTGTTGACAAGAACAGTTACAGTAGTAAAATCATTGTAAAAGATTCTATTGCCGGTTGTCATTTATTATTTTATTCTTTCTTTTGTACATTTAGTTTTACCTGTTTCGCAATTAAAGCCTACATATCCCAGTTGACATGAACAGTTATAAAAGCTAAAATGAGTGTTACATGTTCCGCCATTTTACATGGATTGCTGTCGCATTAATTTATATCTATAAAGATGAAAAACATATTTTTACTTTTAATTTTCATATGTTTACTTTACTTCTAAGTAGGAAAATAACAAAACAGTTGAAGTGGAATGCCTCATATATAAAGATTGTTGTAAAACTTGCTACCTTTTTTACAGTATAGTCACCGATAGCTTTCCTATTTTCCTATTATTATTATTTTATTTTTTATTTATTTTTTTTTTTTTTGGGGGGGGGGGGCATTTGTACATGGATTGCTGTCTCATTCATTTATATCTATAAAGATGAAAACATATTTTTAAACTAATACGTGTTTACTTTACATCTAAGTAGAAAAATAACAAAACAGTTGAAGTGGAATGCTTCATATATAAAGATTGTTGTAACACTTGCTACCTTTTACAGTATAGTCACCGATAACTTTCATATTTTTTTTTTTGGGGGGGGGGTTCGTAACATCAACACAGTAGTGGTCATATAGGGCGATTTTCAATCTTTACTGGCGGAGGGAGACAAAAGTATGTATATTACTTGTAGCATGTAACACAATGCATTCTTGTTTCGCTTATGACCCTGTAAACAGTTTAACATTAAATGAAACTTTGCAAATTGATTTTTATATATAGGTTTCACTGGTTAAAACACTCTCAATATATGTGTATATATCCGGTTTTTACAGTGTAAACACACTTTTTCAAATCTTTAGGTTTGTATGTCTTCAATGTATCCTCAAGTGCCATTATTTTCTCTGTAGACATAACAGTAGTCTTTTTATAATCAAAATGGCATGTTTGTATGTATCAAGCGATCTGTTTTTCAGATCTTCCTCTGACAATAATAACAATAAAAATACTTTCATTTTTACGATATCAATGTTGTTCGTTCTTTGTGAAATTATAAAATACCATATTGTTTTCTATATTAACGACTCCATTTTCTCAAAAAGAATGGTCCGAAACTTCCTACAGAAGAAACTCATAACACAATTCGTCACGAGTTGCAAACATCAGAAAACAAACAAAAAGAAAGTTTAACGAACCGATAGATTTATTTACAGGAACAAATCATATATAAGAGTCTAAACAACAAATCTTATCACTAAATTAATACCTGTACAGCAATCAATAACTGCATTAATGTCTTTCAACATTCATAAACTAACAACAATGCAGTACTCGGCACCGCCCAAACCAACCCCGAAACCCCCAACCCCACCCCTAGCTGGTAATTTGTAATACTGTTTTTATGGCATATACGAGAGAATATAGTGCTTGTAGGTCTAAATAGCTTTCGACAAGCATTTTTGTCATATTTTGTTAATTCAAGATGTATTTTCACATAAAGCCCGTCCGCAACATACAAGTGTATAAAGAAATTTACCGACTTGATAAATAATTTGAATTCCAAAAGTAATAAAAAGGAGAAAACTTACTTCAATTCATTCAAATTACCTATCACTAAATATCGTCTCTAAATTTATTGTTTCATTTTTACAGTCTGTAAGATACAATTCCTTCCTCATGTAAAACTGCTCTTGATGACATTTAGGCATATTTAAGTATCCTACGAGCAATAACTGTCTAATGCAATATGAAAACTTGAAAAGCAATGACAGCCATTACCCCGCAGAATAAGTAAACAACCCAGCGTTCGTAAGGCAGCTTTTCAACAATACCATGTTTTCCAATTTCCTAGCCGCTTTTTGAATGTCTACACATCTGTCAACACTTATTTATTGTCTGTATCAATCCTCAAATAAGTTTCTTTCTTCTAAAAAAAGATGTATGACTAACAAATCAAACACATTTTTTTCCTCCCGTGAGATACACAATTTTTAAAAATGGTGGCCGTCTACATTTCACAAAGCGAGGTCTAATATAAATTCGCACTAAGAAGCGGAAATATGGTCAGAGGGTGTGACGTTCTCCTCACTAGAATTGTTTGTTTTTATTTTTAAAACAAGCGATCATTCATATTTTTTTTAATAAGATGAATAATATCACCACCATATAACGTTGATTTTCAAACTTATTTTCAGCCCAAGACTTCTTTTATTTTATGAGAAATTCGACTAATAGAGGCTACCAGTGGGGAAAATAGATTTTTATATTAAAATTTATGTTCAGCAAATTTCGTTTTAACTTATTTAAAGCATAAAATAAAAAGAAAATTTGTTTGTAGAGTCAGATGTAATTTTATTTCATCTCGTGATCATGAACTGTAAAAACAGTATTCTTACTCATGGCTACACCACTCGTGAGAATACTGTTTTTCAAGTCCTTTCGATGAAATAAAATTACATCTTACCCACAAACAAATAAATATCCTCTATATAAATTATAAATACTTTATAAATACAAATTATAAATACTTTTAGTAGGTTATATGGCAGGTGTATGAACAGCTTTTTCCATCAGATCAGAATGAACTTAGTATTTGCTACAACTATTTATATTGGGCTTAATAATTAAATTTGTAAGTCTTATCCTAATGGTATATGTTGAAATGATAAATGTTAAAACTAACCTACCTTACTGATTTACCTAAAGATTTTCCTTTGCTCAAGAAGTTTGTAAATAATTTGCATTCAAGTTGTTGTTGAATGTTTTTTTGTATGTATACAGGTTGGTTTTACTGCTGAAGGAGAGACTGGTACTAAATTTCCTGAAGTAGATTTAAAGGAAGGCTAAGTATATCAGTGGGCTGCATAGTCTGTATGATAGACAACAGGTCATCATTGGCATCTGTTTTATCATCCTCATTTCTATGTCTTAATATCATAAATAAAACAGTATTAATATCAATTTTATCATCATAATCATTTATTTTTAACCATATTTACAACAATCCTCAATCATATTTTTCTTATCATTACTACCATCATCACTAATACCATCATCACTGTGACCTTCATCACTACTACCTTCATCACTACTACCATCATCACTACTACTTTCATCACTACTAGTCTCATCACTACTACCATCATAACTACTACCATCATCACTACTACCTTCATCACTACTACCATCATCACTTCTACCATCATCACTACTACCATCATCACTACTACCATCATCACATCATCACTACTACCATCATCACTACTACCATCATCACTACTACCTTCATCACTACTACCATCATCACTACTACCATCATCACTACTATCACCATCATCACTACTACCATCATCACTTCGACCATCATCACTACAACCATCATCACTTCTACCCTCATCATTTCTACCATCATCACTACTACCATCATCACTACTACCCTCATCACTACTACCCTCATCACTTCTAACATCATCACTACTACCATCATCACTACTACCCTCATCACTTCTAACATCATCACTACTACCATCATCACTACTACCTTCATCACTTCTACCATCATCACTACTACCTTAATCACTACTACTTTCGTCACTTCTACCTTCATCACTACTACCATCATCACTACTACACTCATCACTTCTACCATCATCACTACTACCCTCATTACTACTACATCATCACCAGTCTACCATCATCACTACTACTTTCATCACTACTACCTTCATCACAACAACAATCATCACTACTACCATCATCATTACTACCCTCATCACTTCTACCATCATCACTTTTCTACCATCATCACTACTACCCTCATCACTTCTACCATCATCATACTACCATCATCACTACTACCATCATCATTACTACCCTCATCACTTCTACCATCATCACTACTACCATCATCACTACTACCATCATCACTTCGACCATCATCACTACAACCATCATCACCTCTACCCTCATCATTTCTACCATCATCACTACTTACCATCAACACTACTACCCTCATCACTACTACCCTCATCACTTCTAACATCATCACAACTACCATCATCACTACTACCATCATCACTACTACCATCATCACTACTACCTTCATCACTTCTACCATCATCACTACTACCTTAATCACTACTACTTTCGTCACTTCTACCTTCATCACTACTACCATCATCACTACTACACTCATCACTTCTACCATCATCACTACTACCCTCATTACTACTACCATCATCACTTCTACCATCATCACTACTACTTTCATCACTACTACCTTCATCACAACAACAATCATCACTACTACCATCATCATTACTACCCTCATCACTTCTACCATCATCACTTCTACCATCATCATTACTACCATCATCATTACTACCAGCATCACCACTACCATCATTACTACCTACATTATCATTAGTACCAGCATAATCACTTCTATCACCATCATCTCTATTACTTACACATCACTACTACCATTGGCACTACTATCATCATCATCACTACCACTATAATCACTACAACACTTCATCACTTCTATCATCATCATCATCATCATCATCATCATCATCATCATCATCATCACTACAACCATCATTATTACTACCTACATTGTCATTATATTCATCATTTATATCATCACTCATCACTACTCTCATCATAACTTTCATCATCACTACCATCATCATTATCACTATTATCATCATCATTACTACTATCATCAACACTATCATTATTCATCATTACTACCGTCATCATTTCTTATTAACTATCATCATAACTATCATCATCACCAAAATGATCATCATTACTACCATCATCATCACTACCATCATCATAACTACCATTATCATCACTACTTTAATTATCACTTCCATCATCATTATTATCATCATCATTATTATCATCATCATCATTACTATCATCATCACTATTATCATTCTCATCACTTGTTTCATCATCAGTACCATTATTATCACTACCATAAGCATCACTACCATCATCATCATTACTATAATCATCATTACTACCATCATCATCACTACTATCATTATCATCACTACTATCATTATCATTACTATCAGAATCATCATCACTACCATCATCATCATTTATATCATCATCACTACTAACATCATCATTGTATTTATCTGAACTTGCTTTATTATAATGTAATAAATATTTTAATGTTCTTCATATTAAATTGATACTGTAGAACAGACTTGAAGAATTTAGTATATCTATGAAATTTTGAGATCTAATCATTCTGAAATAAACTTAATAAATTACTTAATAAAAATATTGATTAGTATAGATAGATTTAAACTATATATCCCTTTGTTTCTGGTTTCAGGAATGGGTAGACTATGATGAAAAGAAAAAAGAATCTGTGTCAATTACGGAAATTAAACATCAATTTGTGACTGTAAAGTGAATGAATACTTATGACATATGTTTTTAATGTACTGTTTAACAGAATAGACAGAGAGCTGTGTTTTTGACTGGTTTTAACCACAGACGCTTGGGGTTTGGAGCTCAAAACGCCTTTAAAATCCAAATAAAATGCATATTTGTCAATCCCAGGACATGTACTGATCATATATATCAAAAAAACTTAAGATAAGCCGTTTTGAAAAAAAATCATATTTCAACATCTATAATAATACACAAGATAAAAATGTTCGCCGGAAAAAATCCGCACCCCTACCGTCATAATCACCATGTATTTTAATCCATTTCCAATATTTTCACATAATCCTTGGTCCATCGACACAGAAGATATAATTCTTCACGATGATGGTCAATTTTAAACTTCAACGGTAATATAAACAACGCAACAGCCGAAATAAACATCAATATTCTCGCCGTTTTTTTTCAACGACAAAAACTTTCGATAAATTCAATGGACCAGACGGTTATGAACGAAGCTATCCGATTATGTGGTTCCCAAACTTAAAACCGCTGCGCATTTTGCACACGGCAAAGCTGGGGCCACATAATCGGATAGCTTCGTTCATAGCCGTCTGGTCCATTGAATTTATCGAAAGTTTTTGTCGTTGAAAAAAAACGGCGAGAATATTGATGTTTATTTCGGCTGTTGCGTTGTTTATATTACCGTTGAAGTTTAAAATTGACCATCATCGTGAAGAATTATATCTTCTGTGTCGATGGACCAAAGGATTATGTGAAAATATTGGAAATGGATTAAAATACATGGTGATTATGACGGTAGGGGTGCGGATTTTTTCCGGCGAACATTTTTATCTTGTGTATTATTATAGATGTTGAAATATGATTTTTTTTCAAAACGGCTTATCTTAAGTTTTTTTGATATATATGATCAGTACATGTCCTGGGATTGACAAATATGCATTTTATTTGGATTTTAAAGGCGTTTTGAGCTCCAAACCCCAAGCGTCTGTGGTTTTAACACCATACTTTATCCATGATACAATTAACAATTGTTGAAAAAAGGTTATAAAATTCAAATTGAAATGTAATTGGATGATTAAGGAAAATTGTTTGATATAAATTTAAATGTGAACAAAGAGGAATGATAGCATTTGAAACTTTACCTCCAGATTTAATTTTGTCGTGTTTCACACAATAAACCAGGTATTAAGTTATATAAAATACACGGAAAATTATCGCTCAATGAATATAATTTCATGTATAAATGTAAATTTTATTTAGTACATGTGATACTTCTTGTGAAAAAAGATGGCAAGTGTATAGATGTCATAAAATGATTAATGCGCAACCCATTGAATATCATAAATCAAGTGCAAAGTTTTATTGTGTAAAATAAAATTAAAATGCTGTTTATTTCAAAGGATAATATAGCATGATTTAACAAAAAGCTGGTCTGTTTATCCTTATCCTGTAGAGTGCAAACATGCAAGGCGTCTTGACTCGGCAGTAAATTAATTTCACACTTTTGAACATTCAGACATTTTATTTAAAATTTAAGGAAATTGAAAAATACTGAAATATTTAACATACTATTTTATTTGTAACCGAGGACAGTTTGGGAAGAAAAAACTTTAAGCAAACATCATTTTAGGGAGAGAACAATTTAGCAGACGACATTTCCCCAAGCATGCTTAATCATTAAGCAAAAATCAAATAAGCAAATTTCTAAACATGGTATTTCACATGTTTCAATTACAATACATCAATAGTAATTATGTTATTGAATTATTTTGCTATAAAATTCCACATTTAGTTTTCTTTTATGTACATGTAGTGAGACAGCAATGTGAGAAAAGTAAATAGATGTGTAACGCATTTTATTTACCTTCAAAAGGATTTAATGCTAGCATGTATTTATTATATTCATTAACATGTATACTTCCTAGGATAGAAGTAAAATGTATGAAGAAAATTGTTTCTTTGTTATCTATGACAACAAGTTCGGAATTTGTTTACTACAAATGTTTGTGTTCCCTGTGTGACTCTAAATATTTACCTGATATTTTAAATATTTATTGATTGATAAATGCGTCATCAGTAAGCTTTTTATACGCCTGTTTGAAAAACGGGTCGTATTAGAGGATTGCTCCTGGCGGGCGGACGGTCTGGCGGGCAGGTGGCATCCAATTTTAGTCATAATTTATCTAGGGATTGTTAAACATATGGTTATTATCATTACTATGCCTGTGACACATGTAATTTAGGTCAATATATGCAATGTCAAGGTCACTTGGTTACCGCATAAAAACGGCTTGAATCACATTTTATCAGCTTATTTCAATTTTCTATGTCACCAGAAGGTAAGTAAATGTCACTTGCCTACCGAAAATCGAGATAATACAGTATATTATACATTGGTGTACTATTAAGAGGCGACAAAAAGACAAAATATCGCTCAAAACGGTGTTCAAGCCATCATTTTCACGAATGATCTTGAAAAGTAAACAATTTCGTCGAAATAATTTGATGAGGGATAAAGAGTAATGTCTTTGCAGCTGTATGCGGCTTTTCCTTTTTTCCAGTTAGATTAAATAATATATTGGCCAGTATACTTACCGCGTTGGAAATCCTGTCAGTTATCCGCCATTTATTGCACAATTCTGCGTTACTTATTGCACGAATCGTGCGATATTTTCACATTCCGGCGTTACTGGATATACACGGTGTTATCATGAATAGTCCGAAAAAGGGACCAACAAATTCTATAAATGCAATTAACAATATCTTGTGATTTCGGAATTTTGGAATTGTTTACCCATTTGAATTACCTTTCTTTGTAATACTTCTAGGAATTTACCCTTTATATGACGACTTCCATTTTAACACATGCACACATCTTCCACTTATATTCCCCACATTTCCCATTAAGACTGTTCGGCATGCGCATATCTTCCTCTTATATTCCGCTTATCCCCATTATGACTGTTACAACACATGCGCATATCTTCCTTTTACATTCCACGCATTCCCCATTAAGTCTGTTACAACACATGAGCATATCTTCCTCTTATATATTCCGCTTATCCCCATTAAGATTGTTACAACACATGAGCATATCTTCCTTTTACATTCCGTTTTTCCCTATTAAGACTGTTACAACACATAAGCATATCTTCCTCTGTCATTCCGCGCATATCCCGAATAAGACTGTTACAACACATCCGCATATTTTCCTTTTATATTCCGCACCCCCCCCATTTAAGTCTGTTAAAGCACATGAGCACATCTTTCTCTTACACATTAACCCTTTACCTCATATATACGCGAAACAACGCACTTTCGACCTCCCCCTTCTTTAAGGCCTCAAATAGTGAAAAAAATGTCCTGTTTGGGCCCCAAACACATGTTTTCATTTGGAAAATGTTGTTAAAAAAGTGGCAACTTTTTCGGCGCGGCCTTTCAACCACAAGATACATCAGGGGGTTGCAGAAGGGGGATGTGCCCCCTTCTGTTTGGGGGATTTGAAGGGGGCGGGAGTCCCCCCCATCGCTAGGAAAATTTTGGACTTGTGAGAAGCTAAAAATGACCCCAGATCGATCATAAGGTAACGTGTAACCAACGCTGAAAAGCATTTGACTCTATCTCAATCCATTGAGAAGTTGCTGCACTTTATAATCAATTTTGATGGAAAAAATCAACACAAAATAGTGATTTTGGGCAACTTTGAGATGTCCCCTCGTTGCCATAGTAACAGGAAATGTAGGCATGAGCATGCAATTACAAAGCCAATTGTCCAGTCAACATTTGTGCCAAGTTTGATTAGTATTGAAGCAGTTTTCATAGTTTTATAGCAATTTGAACTTGTAACAGGAGACTTTTCAATGAAAACAGCCATTTTTCACAAAATGCTTTTGAAGTAATGGGTAAGACTGTTACAACACATATGCATATCTTCCTCTGTCATTCCGCGCATTCCCGTTATGACTGTTACAACACATGATCATGTCAGCTCCACGATTTCAACTTTACGAACTTAACAAAGTTGAAATCGTGAATTCACAAATTTTAAATCGTGAAATTGGAAAGTGGGAATCGTGAATTTTATATTTTGAAATCGTGAATTCTTGAAGTTAAAATTGTGAATTCTTGAAGATGAACCCGAGAATTCAAGAAGTTAAAATGTGATTATTGGTCTTCCGTAGAAATGTTAATCTCTGACTTGTAACATCACAAACAATTATTATTTTTCGTGTACAAATGAACATAGTATGTCTTCATTATTATATTATACAAATATACATGTATTCCATTACATATATTTCAACAAATGATTTTTTAATTTATTCCTCGCAAAATAATAGTTTTGGCTAAATTTGCAGACGGTGAACAGATGCTATCCATGCGGCTAGTGCAAACCACGATCAGGTTTTTCTTTCATGGTTTACACTTTTCGATATTTAATCAGAACATTTTACACTTTTCGATATTTAATTAATAATTAATTAATTTAAGAACATATATCATGATTTCCCCTATAAACGGTGAATTATTTTATCCAGATTTGAATACGGACAAGTTCATTTAATATATTTAGCGGGTTAAGGTTTTCAATATATTCATTTATCACTGGGACAAGGAAGTTTGGGTTTGAATGGTTGATCTAGTTTTATTCTTTGCTACATAATAGAAATCTAATAGCACTTCAATGCCGTATATGCAATATGCTTTACTGAATCAAATTATCGTTATTATTGAACTTAACTAGCTTTTAAAAAATATAACGTGTTATAACAGTAATTCATTTTTTAAGTTTAATGGATTCCTTGTCAAATATGCAAAAACTGACAAATGTTTGAAAAAAATAGAAAAAAAATATGGAAAAGAATGCTACACGGATTAATATAATATTTCTTCTTGGTGTAATTTAACAAAATGTTTGATCATTTTGGGGGAGGAGTGTTTATGTGGACTTCCTTAACATATGAACATGTAAAAATATTTATTTGTTTAAAGTTGTAAGAGAAAAAATACCACAATATGTTTTGAAAAACAAAGTTCAGTAAAGGATAAATACAAAGAGTGGAAAAAACACAATTTGTGTAGTTAAAATTTTTCATGGAAAAAAGTGCGGCGAAAAATAAAAAAAGGGTAAAAAGCATATGTTATGACAGTTTAAAATGGCTTTGCCTGAAATTAGGGGAAATGTTCGATTATTTAAACCCTTCTTTATAGAAATGAGCAAATTTACTGGGAAAAACGACCATGTGTGTAAGGGCCAAATGGACAATGTGCAGAATATTTGAAGAAGGTGCCTTTTTCGTAATTTATGCGCTTCTTTCTTTTTTTGTTGTTTATATCTGGTCTGATATCAAAAGGTGTAGATACTAGTATGTCTATTTTGATAACGCTTATAGAACTATTATAGCTAAAATGCCATCTTATTTAGTAAACATTATTCTGACAAACAATTAATATTTGTTCGGAAAATGTTTCTTCCCTTCCCCGAACACTTCAATGACTGAGGTACACACTTATTTCAAAACAAATATATTTGTGTATGAGCAGTTCCCGCCTCAGGTCATGGCAACACGTAAAATATTGATTGCCATGGATTTCTTGTTACACAATATGGTGGCTGATTTGTGTCGTTTCGTGTTTTCGCCCCGCGACCCAGCCACGCGATAAGTTGAGAATGAACAACGTTGATAAATTAATTGTGATTGTAAGGCATATTTTCTCGAAATATACTTTATAATTCTTTTCAAATATACATTTTATTTTTTAGCAATATTGATCTGAGACACAATAATATACGGGAGGGTTTTCGCTAGTTTCTGTTATTAATTATGATTTACACCAAAGCATTTTAATCATGATATATAGTTCTCCGAAAAAACGATTAATGTTACTACTCGATGAACTAGTGGTAAGTACGACGGAGTTGTGTGACTAACCATGTAGTTGCTTGTGAATCTTGGACAAACCTTTTCTGTAGATTTTCATAAACTCGATGAAAAACTAATGATTTGATAAATCGTGTGTTTCAGTTCTAGCATTTCTTTATTTCATAATTTTTGATAAAATACATATCTTCATATACCTTTTTTAATTTTATTAATTTTATTATGTATACTTTACATAGTGATTCGCATGCATAACACATAATGGTCAAAATTTGCAAAATATAATGAAAAACAATTGATTCGAACCTACATTCTTCAATTTGAAACTAACAGGAAGTCTAACACCTTGTCACTGAAGCTAGTCAAGGCAAGTGATATGCTTGTAATTTCAAAGTGGTACAATACATTAAAATCCGTATGGGGTACTCCGTAATCAGATATACTTACCGACAAAGGTCATTAAATATTCAAGTTTATCAGATTCAATACAGCAAATACCCTCTCTTTTGTTTATATCTAAAACCATGTTGTAGAATTACTTTAAATCCACATTAAGTCTGAGATTTTTTTTAATAATAGTCGAAGTGATCTGACTAATAATGGAACAAGTTAAGCAATAATAACTTAAAAAAATGGAAGTTTTAAAAAGAGTAAAAATGTCTTGATATTTGTTTTAAATCGATACTGTATAGAATTTTCATGTAAATATTAGCAGAAATATTATCGTCGACCCCGAAAACACAGAAATTGATTAACGAAATTACGAACAGCAATATTTTCTCAGGAAATAACAAATCACCAGGCAGTGATCAAACTTCTAGCGAAATGCTTAAAACCTCATACGACATTATTACCCCCCTTCTTTTATTAAACTTGTAGAACAAATAATTAAATACAGGGGAATACCGAGGAAAAAGTCCCCCCCCCCCCCGTATTTTAAAAAAGAGATGTAAATGAGTCAGAGAATTGTCGTGGCATTACATTTATTAATACATCAGCAAAGTAGCAAAGACCTATTCACAGTTATTTTGAATAGGTTAACTTCCTGGTCAGACAAATACGAGAACATTTCCAATAAACCAAGGGTAAAACGATAATATTTTCATTTTTCATTCTTTTATTCTCAGTGCGCGCCAAAGCGCGACGCCCTATATAGATGAAATCAGATTTTGTGAAAGGGCAATTTGCAACTTCTCGGGCCTTTTCGTCTGTCATAATAGCCGATAGTTCCAATTGGTATGAGGAAAAATGAAATGTCGCAATATGCACAATGAATAGCGAACTGGAGAATTTCGCAATGCAAACATATTCAAATAAAATTATCTTATCCGTCAATTAATCGCATTCTTTGGTTTTTTATTAATCATGTAGGTTATTATGTATGTTACTGCTGCACCTTTTAATATAATGATGACCTTAACATTGTGAAAGTCCGAAAATCTATTTATAGAAGTGGTTTTAGTTTAACAAAATGGTCATTCATGTCGTGCTATGGTAATAAATAACGAACTGGAGAATTTGGCAGATACATATTCAATTAAAGCCACTCTTTTTATCTCTATAGAAAAGATTTAAGTAGGCCATTTTTACGAATTGTTATATCATATTATTTTCATTTTGAAATTGTTTTTTTTATGGCCCTGATTGTACTTATGACATTTTTACCTTGATTATTTCAATAGACCTAGTTCATAACTTTCAATGTCGTTTTTATTTTGACATTGTGCGACAGTTAACAAGTCTAGCAGAAGTATACTATAAAACCTATTCGTTGTTCAAGTCTCTTTAGATAACTGTTCGATATTTTGTTTGAAGGCAATCGATTTTATGGTAGTTTGGGTGGAATGTATATTTGCCGAATATTTGTGACATTTTAACAACAGAATTTTTCGTCTGCAATTTTAACATGAGTTGTTATGTTATTGATAGAAATGCAAACACACTGGTGGGTCAGACGAGGTTTTTAAAATAGTAGATTGACCTCCCATAAATCAATTAACAGATTTGTTCATTTTGACTACTATTTTGTATGTTCCAAAGAAAATACAACATGAACTTAAAATTCTATCAAATAACCAATATTAATGATAATATCCAAAAATAACCTCTATATAATATAAATAAACTTATACCATATAGGTGGGGGTATATTTTGGATATTATTGTTAATATTGATAGAATTTTAAGTTCCTGTGGAGAAACATTCAATATTCTAATCTCTAGCATGCCTACCGACGTTCATGATGAACAATATTTTTTTTCTGCTCATCCATTATTGATATACAATTCTGGTAAAAACCAATTAACCATTGAAAAGTTTATAAGAATACCTGGTCATCAGATGTCTACTAGTTCATCTTCACTTGCTGCATTTGTTGTTTGGACGCCCTTTGATGCTTTGCATCATTGCTTTTTTTGTTATTAATTTGTCATCGGACAGGAACGTTCTCGGCTATTATCTATAATAACACCGGAGTTAATACGGATTGAAAGTAGTTTCAAACATTAACAGAGAGTGGTAAAACGAATGTATATATTTGACATCCAAAGGAAAATTAGGTATGTTTTGACACAATTATGATTGAAAATATGTCTGACAACACTTTTTTGATTAAAAATTCCCACCTATGTACAAGTTTTAACAAATACAACTTAATGTCAACAGGTTGTATTTTGTCCTTTTGTTCTACAACCATGATAATAAATATAAATATATAAATAATGTATTGTTTGTTTTTATATCTATGAAATCACTTATTCTAGGTGGACTTTTATTTGATATATTGGAAATAAACTTATCAACAAGAAGGGGGATTCTTGGGACATCACCAAAGTGACTATGGTCGTATTCAGAATCGATACTTACACTCAAACTCATTGAAAAAATCCCATATAATTGTCTAACGGTTATAACCTTCCACAACCTTTTTATTAGTATGGTATTCGGATTATAAAGTCAGTTTCAAGTAAACCAAGGTGAGTTTGGAATTTGTGAGATTTGAAGGGGGCTACGTTAAGGTGCCCTCAATAAAATAAAACTGAAGACCACTTATAGTCTTTTTTTCAGCATTGATTTTGAATTGATTTCGACGCATATACATTTAAGTGCATCATATATGAGAACTGAAGTATTTGAGGCAATAAATGTTGAAAAACAGATATATATGGATGGAGATGAACCCATTACATTTGTGTCAGAAATTGAGTTTTATTATTAATTTCGATTTTTGAAGGAGTGGGCACATTTTATACCCGGAATGGTACAAGTAGTATGAATTATTGCTCCACGCCCATTGTGGGTTTACCAATTTTTTGTCCGTAGGCCCGATTTTTATCAATTAATCCCTTCGATTTACAGCTAAAAATAAATTGGGAATCAAGAACTTCTTCCGATTTCTATTGTGAAAAATCATACTTGGTTTCCCCTTCGGTGTTTTGCAGCATTTTATATTAATGAATGTAAACGGGAACAAATTGTACATGAATTTGAAAGCCATAAATAGCTAGATAACATTAACATTGTGAAAGTCCGAAAATCTTTTTATAGAAGTAGTTTTAGTCTTATCGAAATAGCCATTCGTGTTGCGCTATGGTAATAAATAACGGACTTGAGAATTTTGCAGTTAATGAAATGCAGACATATTCAACAATAAATTGCGCTCTTTATAAATTTATCGTAAAATTTTTAGTATGCCATTTTTACGAATTGTTACATCATAGTTTTATCATTTTGAAATTGTCTTTTCCGTAGGTTTTTATCGGTATATGGCTCCTTTATTTATTACGGTCGTAGTTGCTCTTTTGACATTTTTTACTGTGAATATTAAAATCTGGAAACAAAGTGATCCCTCGGAAGCATTAATCACAACATCGACCCTTATTCATCGAAATTTTTCTGTAAGAAGTTGATTCTATTTTGTTTGAAGGTATTCGGTTTCATGGTTGTTTTGTGTGGAATGTTGATTTGCCGAATTCTCTGACACTTTAACAACAGAAACATTCGTCTGCATTTTGAACGTGTGGTGTTATGTTTTTAGGAATGTAAACACAGAGCGTTTTGAAGAAATTCAACAAAATAGTATATTGATCTTTAAATAAACAAATAAATCAAATAACAATAGCTCTTTATATATCGCCAATGTCAAGAAGCTTTTATATCTTTGACTCGCACGAACATGATGTAAGTGAATTTCCTCATACCGATCTAAAATTCAGGTAACAGTCTCCCATTTAACTGATAAATAATGTATCACCATATAACGTGTATAACAAACAAAAAATTCTGAATTTGGTCTTTTTGAAATTCATCCCAATTTGTTTTTTCATTCCAGTGTGTGTTCTACTTTAAATATTTATCTGGGACTTGAAATCTTAAATCCCAGGTTTAAAACAAACCATTTCTTTACTTTTACATAACAAAATACATGTAACTATATTAGTCCCTTTTGTTACTATTTACATATTTGTAACAATTATAATAATGAATGGAAAACATACTTTGTTCATTTTGACTATTGTTTTGTATGTTCCAAAGAAAATACATTTAATATTCTAATCTCTAGCAAACCTACCAAAGTTCATGATGAACAATGTCTTTTGTCCTCCCTTTTATCTATGATATACAATTCTGGTAAACCACTGAACACTTGACAAGAATATCTGGTCATCAGATGTCTACTAATTCATCGTCATTTGCTACATTTCTTGCTTGGACGCCCTTTGATGCTTTGCATCAATACTTTTCTTGTTATTTCATGGTATACCATTTGCCTCGAACCATGCAAAGGACATTTTGAGAAGTAAAGTCCGTGAAAGTTTTTGTTTTGTTTTTGCTTATTTACATATGGATTTTTATATTTCTTACCATTTGATTGTTGATATTTGTAGAAAATGAGTAGGATTATTGGTGAAAGAGAATATCTATTTGCTTTGATATTTTTTTCATCTTATATTACTGACTACAGTAGTGACACTGTTGCACTACTGTCATGTCACATTACATTTACAAGTCTTGTTTGTATTCAATGGGATTACTTTCCTTACCAGGTGGGCATCAGTGAAAGCATATTTTATTTTGAAAATTTGATGTCTGGCCCCTCTCTAATGGACAGTGCATAGGATAAGTATAATTATGCAAAAATGATTTACAAAATATTCGGAATAATGTACATAAAGACTTAATCTGAATAGAACATAACCTGTGCGTAGGAATGATTTGGTAAGGTATCTGTAATGTATGCTTTTTTTGCACTGAGATCGCAGCAACATTTGTACTTGTTAAGAGTGTATTCAACTCGCGGGATATCAGAACTTATGCCAAAAAGATGTGAACTTATACGATTTCAAGTTGGAAATTTCTTGCATTTCCTTTTATCCATGAAAATAGCTGTTCCTGTGATTGTCAATGTGACCGTCGAAGATTCTGGACTCAACGGATTATTTGTCGTATGCGTCTAAATATAGGCCTATGTAAATATTCATGACATTTAGTTATTTATTGCTTCGTATTTTAAATTTTAAAAAATAACAGATACAAGTTACTGGATATAGCTCAGAGTTTAATTAGCATTGCTCTGTAAGTCTGAGAAATTCTGGGACGAATTTCAATATAGTATGTCACGTTTCAGAACTGTTCACTATTTATTGGAGAAGATGTATAAGCGGCTGTAAAGCCGCGGAACGGTATTCCGAGGGTCCCGGGTTCTAGTCTCAGTCGGGCTGCACATTTTTCGCACCCTTTGACAATATATCGATTGATAGATATCATCATTTGCTTTTAGAATGAAAGAACAATAACTTTTCATGTACAATTATAACTAACAAGGTAAGGATAGTTGAGTACTTATTACTCTTGGTTCAATTTTTTACAGTTAGATTTAGTGAAATTTTCAAATGATTATAGTATTTGTTCGTGGTGATAAAATGAATAACATAGGCTTGTGGGCAACAGTGAACATATTATCCTGGGAAAAATACTGTTACTTTACTGTTACCCACAAGCTATATAATACTACTATAAAGAACGTGTTAAACCAAAAGGTTATCTTTATAAAGTTGTAATGTATATGTTAAGCAAATTCTGAAGTAATTTAAGGTTGCAAATCGTGCAACACTACAGAATTAAAAATATCTTATTGTACATGATAAATTTACAAAATTTAACATAATATTTTGTGTCATTATTCGTTATTATATATCTCAGGTTAAAGTGACTATGCGATTAACATGGGGTTTTGCTCATGCAACATGTTCCGATACAGCAATATCATCTGGTGCATGGATGGGTGATTCAGCTTCTATTTCATGCTCTGGCTGCACATCAAGTTATTTAGGGGCCTATCGAATCCGTTGTCAGGATTTTATGACAGGTTCATGGAGCTCTGGTGAAAACAGTTTCACTTTAAACACAACAACAACCAAACAATTTACATTCTGGTAACAATTTAAAAATTCTTTGTTTATTCTTGTGCTTTACTTAATTTTAATACGAAATGAACAATTTTAGATTTCATGTTAAATGCAATTATACAAAAACGCATTTAATGCTAGATTTAAACTTAACTCAAAATGTGAATTGACAATACTTACTTTCTATATTGTATTTGCCGATTTAAATAATTTATTACGTGTTGAATTATCTTTACTAGTTTATTTACAGTATAACTGTATATTTCAGCGGTTTTCGACATTTAATTTATTGTATTTCATACATACAGGTTTTCCAGCGGTACTTGGTTTGCTTTACAATCAGGTGGAGGGTTTTGGAATTTAAACTCCACAGTTGACCTTGCAACACGACAGGATACAGGGGGAATAAACTCGTCACCTACAGTTAACATGCCATCTGTAATATACTGGCAAACAGGATGTTCTTATACATATACTTTACCAGGTAAATGCTTGTCCAACAGCTTTTTATTTTATTGTTCTTATATACAGTTACTCTCATAAAATTACATTGATCCCTTACTTGTCGACTTTCTGAAATAGACTTATTCAGCTTAAAATTTAAACAGTAATTACCATACTTTGCCGCTGAAACTTATGATTAAGTCAGTCAATGTTTGATGTGCCGAATACACATGTTTGCCATTACTTATTTATTCGTACATATGTTAATATTTGACAGTAATAGGAAATGTACTTATGTACATGATTTGGGTTATTTACTTGAAAAAATATTCAGTCACCCTTTGGATATGTTGCCTGCTTTTTAGACCTGTCTTTGAAAGATTGCCAGGGGCACTTATAACCCTACACTTACATTTTTCGGTATTAATTGGTTATTTGTGGACGGATTTTGTTTAAATTTTGACCATACAGTATTCAACATCTCATACGTACTATAAAGAATTTTATTAACAATTCATTGATAATAAAACAGAAAAATTAACAAATCAATTAGGCTATTGTAAAATGAAAAATCTCATATACAGGCTGTAATCATGATAACCACCGAATTAATATATCTGATATTTCTAAATTAAATAATTGACCATCACGATGATTAAATGTTTGAACTGTGTAACGTACGTTGACAGAAGCTTGCACTTTCCCGTACTGCCCATGAACAGGCTTAATCAAACCAAGCGTACAACATTTTTATTTTTGAAGTTTTTTACCTTCTATAGGAATTCCTTTTCTCTCTTTCGCATTACCTCTGACCCTCTTTTAAAATGCCATTTCATTTAGTTTTGCCTATCGTTTAGGGCACATGCATTCTTTAACTTGGCGACCATACGTCCCTTTCATGGGATGTACAGACGTGTCACATTGAAGGTTCTTGAAAAAAAACTGCCGTATTAGAACACATCTGCGGATGTTTCCAAATTCAAAATATTACTATTCATGCTAAATTATCAATTCTATTTAAGCATGTGCTAAACAGCAGAGACGGTTGTTTGCGCTTTACAATACCGTCCATGAACAGGTTCAATCAAACCAAACTTTTTCAGATTTGTCGTTCTATAATTTTTTTAGGGATTCCTCTATTTTTCCCTGAACTAAAACAAAAAATATACTTTCTTTAAAGCTAAAAAAATCGTTGGAATCATTGTTTTAGTATAAGATTAGGGGCATGCCCGAAATAACGATTCTGCTACCTTTATAGTTAATGACGTAGATGGTGACGTCATACGATGCAGATGGGCAAACGGATCCACTGAATGTGCAGATGTTTGTCAGGCTTTTTCAGAAGCTTCCTTAAATGAGGTATTGTATTGTCTAATATGATTGGTACAGGTTAAATTGTTGTAATGAAGACATGGACCATAGCAAATACATCCATAGTTTGTTGGTCGCTTTTTAGTTGTATGTTTGTTATACATAGATAAGGTCAAATTAAAAATAATAATACTAAACTATGGTAATATTTGCAAGCACACATTTTTGTGATACATTTGTAGTTGAAATTTATTTGAGTAATGTAGAAGGAGCCATCAAATGCAATATTTCAAGTAGATTTTTCAATAATAAGTAGATCTACTTGGATAAAATAATAATTTGGCAAATAAATCTCGTGGATTCAATAAAAAAATACACAGTTTTAAATCGACGTTAAATTATAAATTAATGTCTGCCTATTTGCAGCCATTGTTTAAACATCATAATTATTTCACCTTTGAACGATTCTTTACCTTTTGTATAAAGTCTTGATTTATATCTGACGTAACTAATTCTGAGAAAAGGATAATCCCACCAAATGCAAATTTTCATTCAGGAATGTCCTTAACACACCTGCCTCCTCAAAGATTATTATTACATGTCCTTTAATCTTTGCTAGACGCATAAATATCGAGTTAAGTACAAATAATCTTTAGAATTTAAGAAACAAAAAGTAACAATCATCAAACAAAACTACGTTTACAATGTCTGAAATTGACGCCAGGGTTGTGGTTCCTAAAATTTGTCTTAATACCAATTAAATGCGTCTAAGACATCAGTTGATAATTACTTATGGTCTCGCCTTTCTTGTAGTTTTTGTAAAGTGTTGCATTAACATGGCACCAACACAGAAGAGACCATATGACAACTTTCCAGCTTTACAAAAGGAAGAAAACATCAGTCACGAACAAGCACATGAACAGTCCGTAAGGTAGCTGGAATGCTTCCTCACATAAAGAATCCGAAATCCCAGACGGTATTCAAACCCATATCTGAGTAGGGAAAGTTGTTTGAATTCACCGACTTTAACCACTTGGTCACGGACGGCCCTCTTTATGTTAAAATGTGAAATCTAATTTACTAATACTCGGATGAAGACCTTTAACATATTATCAACCAACTATGTAAAAATAGAGAAAGGACATGACGTACACATTACAAGGTGTTCCATTGTTTAAAAACAGATTCATATGTTATATTTCCAGGCGACATGTACTATATCATACACAGCAGGTACCGCCACAGGGTTTTACGCTGTAGCCATACAAGTTGAAGATTTTATTACCACAACTTCAACAACACCTCTAAGTAGCATACCTCTTCAATTCATGATAAACATTTATTCAGGGAGCGGTTGTTCAGATGCACCGCAATTTATAGACCCAACACCTACTGTCAACACAAAGCTCGTTACTGACATCGGCAATCAGTACAGCTTTACAATCAAAGTACAGGGACCGCACGCGTAAGTTCATTTCTTTTAAAATTGTTTTTAAAATGTTATTATTTTAAAATAGATTCTTCGTTAGGATGAGGGAAGGGAAGGCATTCCATAAGTATCTCTTGATATCAGAGGGTCTATTTCAGTAAAACTTGATTAACGAATTAACGCTTTGCTAATTTTATACCCCGCACAAGTTGTAAGGGGGTATACTGGAATCAACTTGTCCGTCCGGCCGTCCGGACGTCTGCCCGTCCGTCGGGTTTTCCTTGGCCGCCCAATAACTTAAGATTCCTTCGACCAACAGTCTTCATATTTGGTATTTAGATTGGTCATGATTTGTAGATGATCCCTATTGATTTTGAGGTCACCAGGTCAAAGGTCAAGGTCACAGGGGCTTGACTTAAAAAGGCTTGTCCGCCCCATATTTTTAGATTCCTTTAATCCACAGTTTTCATATTTTGCATGGAGGTTGGTCATGACCATAAGATAACCTCGTTATTAATAATGATGTCACCAGGTCAAAGGTCAAGGTCACAGGGACCTTGACTTAAAAAAGCTTGTCCACCCAATAACTTAAGATTCCTTTCACCCACAGTCTTTATATTTGACATGGAAGTTGGCCATGACCATAACATGACCCCTATTGATTTTGAGGTCACAGAGGCCTTGACTTATAAAAGCTTATCTGCTTAATTGCTTAGGAATGTTTTGGTCAACAATCTTTATATTTGGTATTGAGGTTGTTTGTGACTAATAGATGACCCCTTTTTATTTTTATGTGACTGTGTCAAAGGTCAAGGTCTCAGAGATTTTTACTTTAATAAGCTTGTCTGCTCAAATGCTTAAGAATGCCTGTCCGCAGTGTATTGATTTTGACATTTTCACATTGGAAGCATGTAGAATTCATAACTAAGCAATGCACTGGCTTAGAAACCTCAGATTTGGCAGAGGGGTTGTCCTTGAGCTTTAAATGGCCACTGTTCATTGTGACAAAGTTGTATGCGGGGGTATTTACGTCATGACAGTGGTAGTTCTAGTTAAAAGTGAGAGATACCATAGATGTTTGAACGTTTTTTTTGCGATGTTGTTTTGCAACACCGAATAATTGATAATAATTTTTTCCATTCAAAGATTTCTAAGACTCGTTATATTATCAGAGATAGGAATTTCGCAGTCATCAACAACATTTTTGGTGTCCACTGTATACGTCATGACGGTAACTGCTACATGGACATCTACCATCGCTGACGCTGATTTGGATCACAGAGTTTGTTATTATGCAAGGGATACAATAGGGTATCAATTCATTGTCTATAAACTGCAAATATTTACTTTCCATTTAATATAAGCATGCATTGGCATGACAAAACAAGCTTTAATAACAAAAAATAATATTTTCGAAAATTGCCCCTTGTTTGCAATTCAATTTAAGCTTTCACTTGATATTAATTTACATGTACTGTTTTCAACGGTCTATTTTACCACGAAAAAAACCCCATAGAAATATATTTAGATGTAACTGTCGTTTTAAATTTAGATTTAAACATTTTTTTTTTCAGAGTTACTAGCGAATCAAGATGCATTATTTTACATGCTACAGGTAAACGTAAATTTATAAAATTAAAGAAGTTTTGATGCACTTTGAAAATGAATTTCTTCGTTGAATGTAACATTGAATGATTAATGTGTTATTTAAGGAATAATATATCCGAAACTGTGATTTTATTGAACGATAAAATCAATGTTTGGAGTTCGGATGCGAGGAATTAGATATAATGATGCGCATCCGAACGACAAACAGTGGTTTTATCAAGCAATAAAATCACCGATTTGGATATATTATTTCGATTCTAACACGACAATAACAAATAAATACTACCCTACCTCATATTAAGCTAAATTGCCCCTGATTTGGTTACGTCACATGTATATACATGTATAATGACTATGGTCACATGTCTAAAAATAGAATATCAAACTGATTTTATTGCATATTCTTACACCCCCATTGAACATAGAAGAACCGAAAGTGTGTGTTATTATGCTATAAAATCACAGTTTGACGTTCTTTTTTTAGACATGTGACATAATCATTATACACGTGACGTAACCACTAAAAATGCGACGCGCTGAAAATAAGTACGGAATCAAATCAGGCGCAATTTAGATGTGTATCAGGTACTGCAGCATTTGTTTGTTGATGTCGTGTTAGTATCGAAATAATACATCCAAATCGGTGATTTTATTGCCCTCGTGATATAATTCCTCGCATCCGAACTCCAAACAGTGATGTTATTGAGCGATAAAATCACTGTTTGGGATATATAATTTCTTAAATAACACACACTTTCGGTTCTTCTATGTTCAATGGGGAAAAATGCGGGTCGTGTTAGAATACACTTTATTTTTTTTCTGTAATACATACCATGGCAGTAATATGTGATGAAGCACTAACAAAGTCGATTCAATATGTTATACATATTTAATATGGATTGGTCTACAATAAGCTTGTTTTAAAATATTATACCTACTTTCAAGATACAAATAAATGTGTGAGTGATCCATGCCAGAACAACGGGACCTGCAACAATATTCTCAAAAGTTATACATGTTCTTGTCAACCGGGATATGAAGGTGTAAACTGTGAACTCGGTAAGAAAGTATCGCATATATTTATCTCTTATGGAACTTGTAACAACTATGTAAACTTTATAATTGTAATTGGCAGTCAGAATATGAAGGAATTAAATGTGAAATCTGTAGAACGTATGGAAACGAAATATTTTCGAAAATTAGTAAAACATAACTTACATTTTTTGTCACTTATAATATAAATGTTTATAGATATGATTAAATTCCATTTGAAACATTTACTATTATCATATATTAAATGCTTCTTCTTAATACTTATGAAACTATGAAATAAGCCATATCTTTTACAACCTTCTCTACAATATTAATTGTATTCATTTAAAAAATATCAATGAATGTGACATCAGTTAATATAAAAACGGCGTTACGAATAAACGCTATGTTAAGTTGAATTGCTGTTCATGCAAACCGAGCTTGTATTACTAAATGAGTGAAATACATTTTTAAATTTTTGAAACGAGCGAACTTGTATTATTTTGATCATTAAAGAAATAAGTGAAAGCCTTTAACTGTGGAATGTAAAATATAACAAATTTTATTCATTTTAGATGAATTGATTTAATTTAAGCATATATGTTTATTGCTTTGTTATTTTATGCATAAAACAAAGTGTAGACTTTTGTACACCCTTTAAGATATCAACGAATGTGACAGTAAACCGTGTGAAAAATATTGGAACCCCTAACAATTTCGTTACATTTTGGAATCATAGCGCAATAATTATATTAAAAGTTGTCAGACCATTCAATGTTAAATAATTATTTTAAATAATTGTTTTCTGCGAGTGCTTTATAATTTTGAGCACATACATTATCCATTATACACGTTACTTATACCAATGGGGATATAAATTGTCAGATGTAAAATGTAAAAAGTAAATATTTTGTTAAAGAAACTTTAATGTCATGCACAAGTCTTCAGTAAAACCATTTGAGCGTTTGCGACCAGCATGGATCCAGACCAGCCTGCGCATCCGCGCAGTCTGATCAGGATCCATGCTGTTCACTATCAGTAGTTGGTAAGCGAACAGCATGGATCGTGATCAGACTGCGCGGATGCGCAGGCTGGTCTGGATCCATGCTGGTCGCAAACGCACTATGTTGGTTTTGTCGTGAATGTTTGTCTTAATAAAATTCTGGTCAAATTCGAATATGAGTCATCTAAGGTCAAAAGCTAGGTCACAGGAGCTAAAAATAGAAAAATCTTGTTAACATTCTAGTGGCGGCAGTTTTGATAAAAAAAATCCTTCCTGGAAATTAATGGTTAGGGTTAATAATTTCCAGGTCAAATTCAAATATGGGTCATCTCCGGTCAAAACCTAGGATCCAGGAAATTTGTCAGAAAGGTTGTTTTGTACAAGTTCTAGGTCAAGTACGAATATGGGTTATCTCGGGTAAAAAAAACTAGGTCACAGGAGCTAAAACTGCAACATCTTGTTAACACTCTAGGGGCTACTGTTTCAGTCCAAATAGCCTGGAAAATGGTCAGATTGTTTTTTTTTAATTATTTTAGATCAAGTTCGATATGGGTCATCTCCGGTCAAAAACTAGGTCACAGGAGCTAGTTTTGATCCCAATATCCTGGAAATTGGTCATGAGGATTGTTTTGATAATGTCTAGGTCAAGTTCGAATATGAGTCATCTCGGGTCAAAATCGAGGTCACAAATTTTAGAAATAGAAAAACTTTCTTAACACTCTAGGGGCTACCGTTTCAGTCAAAATATCCTGGAAATTTCATTTAAATATTATTGAGATTGGTCATAAAGATTGTTTTGATGATTTCTAAGTCAAGTTAGAAAATTGGTTATCTCAGATCAAAATCTCGGTCACACAGCCCAAATATGGAAAAAACTGTCAATACTGTAGGGGCTACTTTTTCAATCCAAATATCCTGGAAATTGGCCAGAAAGATTGTTTTGATGATTTCTAGGTCAAGTTTAAATATGAGTCATCTGGGGTCAAAAACTAGGTCACATAGCCCAAATAAAATTGGATTGAGGCTTCATAGTCAGCTGAGCGAAAAAAGGACCATCATAGTTTTTTTTTTAAATGCTGATGTGATGATTATATCACATAAACTATTTTTATACCTTAATAGATAACAATGAATTGTAGAATAGCATAAAAGGTTATAAAAGTGCAATTAAAACAAGAACGTGCCCTCCGACATTTTTTAATGATTTTATGGTGTTAGTCCATTTTCTTCTTAACACTTCATCCTTGGGAAAAAGGAAGAAACCCTTCCTCCCTGAATCACTTCTGTTCAGGCATCCAAATGCCACACGATGCACCATGACTCCGTAAATTTAATTTACTACTGTAAACTTATAATAGATACTTTTCAGAAAGAAAACGTAAAATCCTTTAATTAAATTTTCTCTCAAAACAAAAACTTCATAAACACGGTAAATTACACAATACACAGTGCTATCACTTCGATATTTTGAAGTACTCGCGGGAAATGTTTATACACAAATGGCTGACATGTAGGTCAACACGGATGCTAAGGGATATTCCTACGTCATCAGCAAAAATGGCGACGGAAATTACCGATCTCGTTACGGAAAATACGACACACTAAATCACGTTTTTTGTTTATAAGGACATCTTTAAACACTTTTTTATCATGTTTATTGTAATGTACGTATCAAAATCTATAAAAAACAACTGAACATGCCAATTTTATGCGACTCTCCTTTAACACAAATGCCCTCAGAAACTACTCCGTAAAGGACGGAAAATTGCCAAAAAAATGTACACACAGTTATACAACTTGAAAGAGTCATGGCCTTTTGAAATTGTGAAAGTCATTGCTATGACTTGTGATGAAGTTGAAAATTACTTTTCTTTACCAAATACTAGTACCATTACATGTAAATGCAAGACTTTACCTTGAACCCAGCATCCCCAAACTCTTTCCGAACATAAAAGTACACCTTAAGTATGTTCCTTTTAAAGATGAGACATTGGTAAAAGCAATACAAAGGTTGTAAAAAGTGTAAAAAAATCAATTGTCATTACAAGTGACATTGACTTTGTGACTCCCGGTACTGGACCATCCGAAGTACGTTTTAGATATAGATGAGTGTGCACTCGACCTTGACGACTGTGAGCAAAGAGCCTCAACTTTAAGGGCCTTTATAATTGTTTTTGTCATTTTGGTTATCACCTCAACGATGACAGAAAGACGTGCAAAGAAGGTCAATCCTCTATTATTTCTTCTGTGCTTTTGTTCTTATACTTTCCAAGGACAATGCACACAATAATACATGTATATCTTTTAGTTTAAACATATTTTATTTCTCAGAATATATATATAGATGTTATAATTTACAATATACAGAGAGCAATTCAAATATTCTTAAAAAACAGGATTAGAATGAAAACAACATGTCTTATGAAATTCTTCTCCTATATCTTTTGCCTTGATAAAAGTAGAATTAACTGTCAAAACGACACTTGAAAATGAAAGGATATATAAAAATCCAAGTTTGATTAATTGAACATTAATTCTATTTTTTATAGAAATGTTGTTTACGGCTTACTGTTTACTCAGTGATTTTTATTCATTTTATATCATTGTATATATATATATATATATATATATATATATATATATATATATATATATATATATATATATATATATATATATATATATATATATATATATATATATATATATATATATTGTAGTACTCCTGCGCATCGGTCGAATGTTCAACTGTCGCTCACTTTCTTACGCTATTACTAATTCAAAGTTAAATACAAATTTATGCAATTACTATTTCCAAATGATGACTATCCATATTAAACAAAATACTCGTGTACTATTTTCTTTTTGTTAAATTGCAGTGAGTCAATAAAAGATCAATCGTATAAATGAAATAAGAAACAGTCTGCTATTTTTCTATTGTTATCTGTTTGTAGATATCGATGAATGTGCTGCCAAGTCCAATCTTTGTGAACACACGTGTTTGAATGTGGACGGATCATATGAATGCCTGTGTAACATTGGATATAGAACAAGATCAACAAATAATAGTCTTTGCAATGGTAGTAATTTTATAAATAGAAGGCTTGAAAAAATTGATTCGAAACATAGCCATAAATGTTGTTTTCATATGTATTTCATTTAGACTTAAATGCGACATTTAAGAATGAACTTTTTTTTTAACCAGTATAAAATAATACGGTTGGATGCTATGTTTAGTAGTGCGGAGGTGGTTGGATATGACATGGAATTCATCTTTAGTTCTTACAAATGCATGATCAAATTCCAGTAAAGCAATATGCATTTTACTCGCTATGTATGTTTGCTTTGTAACTATTTACATAAGTTAAAATAAACAACTAAAACATGGACGGGCATAACACATTTATGTACACTTATTAGTTACCCCTTTTCATTTTAGATATCAACGAATGTGACGAATCGATTCATAATTGTAGTCAGCTCTGTGAAAATGTGAACGGTGGTTTCCAGTGTAGCTGTTTTACAGGTTTTACCTTTAACAATGTCACATGGAACTGTGACAAAGGTGTGCTCCATGCCATTCATTGCTTTAAAAGTATATTTTCTCAAAATTAAAATGATATCTTTAACTCTAATACCAATTTAATAAAGTTTTTTTTTTAAAATACTGTATCATTTATTTCGATGCTGTACTAAAATATTTTGTAAAATAAAGTCAAAAGAACGTAAAGATAATTCAATCAAAGCTCATTTTAATGTATATTTGCTATCAAAATAGATGTCAAAACAACATGTACAGAAACAAAAATCATCAACTGTAGTCACACCGCTGGTTGTACTGTAGATGAAATCTCTTTAAATGAGACATGTTTTTGCGAAAATGGGTTTGAACTTTCTACTGATGGCACTGCATGTATAGGTAAACATTTTAATATGTTGAAATAAGTATGATGTATTATGACGTATTGTTTTTATTTTAAAAAATCTTGTACAAATGTATACAAAGAAATCGAAAAATTATTTCTATAATTGAACCGTTGCCCTAGTTTTGGGAACGGTAGCTTTACAATTTAGTAAAGAGTTTAAAGAGGCAAAAAAAAATATTTAAGATACACTCAGTCAGTATTTATTGAAAATGTGATATGAATGTATATTGTTTGTTTTCACTTAGATATTGATGAATGTGAACGTAATATATGTCCTCAAAGATGCGTAAATACTTTTGGAGGATTTAAATGTTTGTGCTATTCCGGTTTTAAACTTCAAGAAGATTTGAGTTGTAAAGGTTAATATTACTTTTACTATTTGTTTTAAAAAGGTATTCATCTATCATTTAATGCCTTTCCTCGTTGATCTTGTTTGTCATATTTTATCACTTTTATGATAACAGAAAAGTAAACTGTATGCACTTGACAGTACCGTCGAGTACGGTAGTATGCAGTACGGTAGTATGCACTTGACAGAACAGTCCATGAATAGGCTCAAAAAAACCGAACCTGCAACATTTTAAATTTTGTCGTTTTGGACTTTCTTTAGGGATTCGTATTTACTTTATTTTATTTTGCCATGTTTAAATATTTAAGATATTAATAGAATAAATGAAAGAGAGAATAACTTACTTCTGGAAATTAATATTTGGTATCAAAATCAATATATGTGTTTTATATCTATTTCTTCTGTTAGAAATGTATTATTTGAGTTTTATGAATTTATTTTATCAAAATATTTGTATTTTAACAGAGTGTGAATTTCCCTTTTGGGGCGATGGCTGTTTAAATGAATGTAAATGTTCAGAAAGAGGAGCTACAGACTGTAACCCTGTGCGTGGGTGCATATGTAAAGATGGTTGGCATGGCGACAAGTGCGATGCGATATAAATGAATGTGAATATAACTTGTTGACCCTTGTCAAGACGTTAAAAAAGAATGTATAAATGAACCTGGGTCTTACATCTGCAGATGTAAAGACGGATATTCAGAAAATGACGGCCAATGTCAAGGTAAACTGATTTTGTTATCGTATGACCATTTTACGACTGGACAATCCTTCGAAAAGGGTAGTTGTTTTTCTTCATTACCATCATATTATAGTACCATTTTGATTTGCTGGTAATGCATGTCAGAAAATCATGGTTAAACTACTAAATCAACTACCAAATTGTTTGGTATGGGGAAGCTTCTATTCTTGTTTGCTTTTGGGGGAATGGAGGGGGTGTCAGATTCATGTAAAGTTTTAAACAGTACCGAATTAATGTCAACAGATAGGCATTTTGTAATTTTGTACCCGACAACAATCATTATTAAGTATATAAACAATGTATTGTTTACTAATATGTCTGTAATTTTACTAAATTTAGGAGGACTTTTACTCAATATATATGAATAAACACAGTCAACAACTCCCCAGTTTTAAATTACTACATTTGTATTTGTTTTACATGTTAAGTTTCTTAGTGTGGGTTAGACCGAGATACTACATGTACGAGTATATATTCTTGCTATTGTGCTCGAGGTCCTTATCCGAAGTTTGACGGAAAGTGTCAAGAAGATGCGACTGCATGCATTTGTCTGCATTCATAACCATAAATATCTTCTCGTATTTATATATGATTCATTTATGTGTTTTGAATTTCCGTTTGATGCCAGAGAACTTATCCAAATTTTTATGGCATTGCACCAAAATAACGCATTGGAAAATTCAAAACTATTAACTACTATTAAGGCATTAACCACATAAAAATCATGATGCAAAAGCTGTTGGTGAAATTTTACTGTAAGAAATTGTTTTAAATGTAAATGTAAACTTGATATATTATATTGATTTGTAGATATTGATGAATGTTCGAGTCCGATTTTAAATGATTGTGAAGGTTTTTGTATCAACACAATTCGAGGATATTCATGTGGTTGTTCCGAGGGATTAACCATTCACGAGACCACACGCTGTAAAGGCAAGTGTAAACTTCATGTATATATTTTTTTTGATTGGTGAAATATAACAAAAATATGATAGCCTCGATCGGTAAAAGAAAATGTATGATTTAAGCATGAGAAACAAAACTAATAAACTTATATGTGAATCAAATATTTTTGAAGATATGTATCTGAGCAAAACTATTCAATAACGAATTTCGAAAATCACCAACATTATTAATAAAAGCCATCAAATTATCAAATTCGCCCAAAAGTAGTATTAAAGTATTTGTATATCTATTTCCGTTATGTTAAAGTTTTAAATTCTAGTCTCATATTTCAAATTTTGAAATAATAGAATAAGAGTTTTACCTTAATTTTTTAAAACTCTTATTTAAAGTTTGTAGATTATTGCGCGTAATTTAGATATGTGGAAGCGTTCTTTGCAGTGTACATGATATAAAATATTTTTAGATATAGATGAGTGCGCACTTGACCTTGACGACTGTGAGCAAAGATGCCTCAACCTTAAGGGACTTTATAATTGTTTTTGTCATTTTGGTTATCAACTCAACGATGACGGAAAGACGTGCAAAGAAGGTCAGTCCTATATTATTTCTTCTGTGCTTTGGTTCTTTACATTGAACTTATACAATTCAAGGACAATGAACACAATAATACATGTATATCTTTTGCCTTGATAAAAGTAGAATAGACTGTCAAAACGAGACTTGAAAATGAAAAGGATATATAAAAAAGCCAAGTCTGATTAGTTGAACATTAATTCTGTTTTTTTAAAAATGGGTTTTTTACGGCCCTTTCTGTATACTCAGGGGATGTTTTTTTATCAAATTTTAAAATATTTCAAACAAAATCATCGAAATTTTTAGGTCAATACTATAGAGGAATATCTGATATTAAGGCGTGCTAAGAACTGGTTAAAAGGCTCATTTTTCTAAAATGGATATATATATTGTAGTTGACAACCCATGCAAAGAGGAGCTTAACCTGAATTGCTCGGCACTTCTGTGTTCAAACCGAAATATCCGCCAAATGCGAGTGCAGAAACGGATTCAAAATTGGAGCCGATCATCAAACATGTCTTGGTTTACAATTTCACAGTTTTTACAATTAAGATAATTAATTTTAAGGATATATACTTTTTTAAATTCTTTGTTAACTTTTTTTCAGTAATGTTTTTTTATACGTATAACTCCATATTGAGAATACATTGAATGTTCACCATTCAAAACGTTATAGAATCAGTGTTATGTTATATATAGCCATTGATATGAAAATTGGGACACTTGATTCTACGATGGAATTTGACCTAAATGATTTGGCTCTAAAGCACTCCACCTCCCAAACAAATACACAAAATGTCTTGCGTTGTTTTAAGAACTTGGTCTCAAATGTTATAATACATTTATGTTAAATTAAATATATGTCGTAACTTATTTATATAAAATATGATAAACAATATTCAATGACACAACCTCCCCAAAAAACAACTTTATTTGCATTCTGATGACAAAATCTCTTTAACTTTGCTGCTATTATCATTTGCCAAATTTAATGACGTGATAATTAGACAAAAACAACGTTCTGCTACTTATTTTAATATGTTGAACGTCGGTGAATT